CATATTTTATCCATATATATCACATCTTATTTTCGATGTGAGATTCCTAAGATACATGACTTCGAAGTACATTGGTCTGCTGCCATATGTAGTGTATTCATGAACAGATTCGTATTAAGTTTACTTCTGAAAACTAAAATAGATCATGATGTTGGTTTTGTTTGGGTGGAAAAAAATCCAATCTCGAAAAATACGAACTATGTAAAAAAAAGGGTTATGAACTAATTTAAATTATATACGTAGGTATGCTTCGGAGAGTATAAAGTTAGCTTGTAAATGGGGCTACAAAGGCGTGAAGTCTGGTGAAACGTTATCAGGTACGTTGTTTGCTTCTTCCTTTTCTTGTACGCAAACAAAAATTGTTTTAAAATGAACCCGACCAAATGAAGTTTAATTAATCGGATTTAAGGATTTTTAATAGTCGCTCATTCTTTTGTGTTGAATATATGACTGTCTGATATATAATTTTTATATGAAAACTAAATGATTTTGTTTTTTAAATTTCCGGTAAATAAATTTGCAGAGGAATATTTCAATACAAGGTTGCCAATAGTGATGAAGAGAATAGTCCAGGGAGGAGTTAGACTAGCCATGATACTAAACCGGGTTTTTAGTGACGATCATGCTATTGCTGGTGTTGCTGCCACTTAAACCAAACCGGACATACCGGGCCATCAAAGCATTTGATTAAGAGATTATTTGATACATCACAAAATTAAACAAGGTTAAGGTTGATAGGACATTCTTTTCTTTTAGTAGCTTTATCTATTTGACTGCTAATGCCTGTGGGCTGCTTTATTTAGAAGTGTTTAGGATAAGATTATATGGTAATTCAATAATATTACTTCATCGTATATTCGTAAGATCGTTTATAGATTAGTGGTTCTAAGAAATAGATAATTTCATTCAACTAAACCCAGTTTATTGATAAATATCGAGTCCGGTCTTAAAAAGAATGTGACAAATATTGTTTTATTTTATCAGTTGTTGGTTCGATCATTCAAGTTAAGAAAAAGCTCAATATTAGTGATCAAATTGACATAAATAAATGAGAATATTTCTGTGGGAAATGAGTAGCAGCATACTAAGTTTAAGATCAATGGAAGTTTCTCGTGGAGCCAAAGATGCAAGCAAAAGAATTAGCAAAACAGTTTATCCAAAATATTATTTGATAAATAAAAAGCTTAAAGTTTTAAAAGTAATATAAAAATATAAGTTTAAAAACATTTTTAATAAAAATTATAAGTGTTAAAAATTTAAATTATGTGTAAGCCATGTTAAACCTAGAACACCTCTTAGGAGTTTGATATAGTGTCCAATTAGTTTACACAATTTAAAAATTTAACACTTATCCAAAAAAAAACCTTCAAGTTTATTTAGTAATATTAAAATATAAGTCATAAAACATTTTTTAATAAAATAAAAACAAGTGTAAAAAAATTAAATTATGTATAAACCATATTAACTTAGAACACCGCTTAGGGGTTTCGATGTTATGTCCAATTAATTTACACAAAATATAAAAATTTAACACTTACCAAAAAAACTTTAAAGTTTATATAGTAATATAAAATATAAGTTTTAAAACATTTTTTAATAAAAGAAAAACAAGTGTTAAAAATTTATATTATGTGTAAACTATATTGAACCGAGGACACCGCTTAGGAGTTTGGATGTTGTGTCCAATTAGTTTACATAAAAATTTAACACGTATAAAAAAACCTTAACATTTTAATAGTAATATAAAAATATAAGTTTAAAAACATTTTTTAATAAAAGAAAAACAAGTGTCAAAAATTTATATTATGTGTTAAACCATATTGAACCGATGACACCGCTTAGGGGTTTGGATGTTGTGTCCAATTAATTTACACAAAATATAAAAATTTAACACTTATAAAAAAAAAACCTTAAAATTTTAGTAGTAATTTAAAAAATAAGTTTAAAAACATTTTTTAACAAAAGAAAAACAAGTGTTAAAAATTTATATTATGTGTAAACCATATTGAACCGAGGACACCGCTTAGGGGTTTGGATGTTGTGTCCAATTAGTTTACACAAAATATAAAAATTTAAAACTTATAAAAAAAACCTTAAACATTTAATAGTAATTAAAAAATATAAGTTTAAAAACATTTTTTAACAAAAGAAAAACAAGTGTTAAAAATTTATATTATGTGTAAACCATATTGAACCGAGGACACCGCTTAGGGGTTTGGATGTTGTGTCCAAGTAGTTTACACAAAATATAAAAATTTAACACTTATAAAAAACCTTAAAATTTTAATAGTAAAATAAAAAATATAAGTTTAAAAACATGTTTTAATAAATAAAAAAACAAGTGTTAAAAATTTATATTATGTGTAAACCATATTGAACCGATGACACCGCTTAGGGGTTTGGATGTTGTGTCCAATTAGTTTACACAAAATATAAAAATTTAACACTTATAAAAAACCTTAAAATTTTAATAGTAAAATAAAAAATATAAGTTTAAAAACATGTTTTAATAAATAAAAAAACAAGTGTTAAAAATTTATATTATGTGTAAACCATATTGAACCGATGACACCGCTTAGGGGTTTGGATGTTGTGTCCAATTAGTTTACACAAAATATAAAAATTTAATACTTATAAAAAAAACCTTAAAATTTTAATAGTAATATAAAAATATAAGTTTTAAAACATTTTTTAATAAAAGAAAAACAAGTGATAAAAATTTATATTATGTGTAAATCATATTGAACCGATGACTTCGTTTAGGGGTTTGGATGTTGTGTCCAATTAGTTTACACAAAATATAAAAATTTAACACTTATCAAAAAAAAAAAAATAGTTTATGCAAGATTTGAGGATACCTTGGAATAAACGTCTGAGTTGTTGAAATTGTTGTATCTAGGATACCTTGGAATAAGCTGAAATCTAATAAAACGGAGAAGGATTAATTATAGGTTGAGTGATAAATAATAAAACTTAGAAATAGAAGAAAATAAAGAAAAGCAGAGAGGACTTTGAGATTACTTACAGATCAAGAAAAGCAGAGGATTTTGAGATACTTCTTCTTGTTGAGTGATTGTGAGTAGTCGAACGATTGGATGGCTTTGCTCACTGATATGGTGTGACTCTGTCTCCTAATCGATTTTTTCCCCGACGATTGAGCCTTGCTCTCTCCGGTGACTTGACGACGCTGTTGCCTCTACACCACCGCCACGGTCACTATGGAGAGACGGATGGATTTATTGATTGAAGAATTTGTCAACTTCGTGATGATGGAAACAAGAGACCATCATTAGCATCAGTTTGTTGTTATTGTAAGCACGCCGGTGACGTGTTTTTTGCAGAAACTAACCATCAACGGTCACCTGTTTCACAAAATCCAAAACAAACCCATCAAACCCTAGATTATTTAAAAAAAAAAAACGAAACTCAAACTTGAAAGCGAAAGATTCATACGAAATTGTTTCGGATTACACCCTAACTCTGTGAAAAATCAAATCGATTCATAGCTTTAGAATAAAACGAAAAGATGATACCTCTGACGACTTGTTCGGTGTAAGCTTGCTCTCGTAGCCATTAGAACACTCTTTTTTTCTTTTCTTTTCTTTTGGTGACAATTATGTGATATGATTTTGACCGAAGAAGACATGTTGAGTATTTATAGACAGAGAGATTGTTGTCCAATAAAAAGGAAATTCAGAAAAAGAAAATTTAGAAAAAGGAAATTTCATTATTTAATGTTATTAGAAAAAGGAAATCACTCGATGAGAAAAAAAGCAACGGTTTGTTTACGAAACTTGCGTTTTACGACATCGTTTGAAGGATTCATAACAACGACGTCGTGTGAAGGATGGTGAGTGTCAGTGATGACGTCATCTGTTTGGGTTTCGTTGTTGGGAGGGTTTCAGTTGGAAGATAGATTTCATCGAATTTGATTAGGGTTTAGTTATACGTTATTGGGCCTTCGCACTAACTCTGCCGACTTCAATTTCACATCACAATATATTTTAATAAGTGAAATTCCATAGGATTTGTACAAAAAGTAAAAGACAAATGAAAATGAACTCAACAAACTAGAGACTACAAGATCACCATTATCTCACTCCAATAAACCACAGAAAATTCTGAAAAATTAATGAAAATATGTCTGTGGGAAATGAAAAGCAGCAGATTAGGTTTAGGATCCATGGAAGTTCCTCGTGGAGCCAAAGATGGAAGCAAAGGAATTAGCAAAGCCAAGCAAGATCCCAACTTTGACTTGCCCTCTCTTCGGGATCGGACGGCTAATGTGTTCTCTACCACCTTTTCTTGTTCCATCTCCACCATTGATCATGTTAACTTTTCCTCTTCCTTCCATTTTATGCGTCTCGGAGTCAAAGTCTTTTGGAATGTAGAGAAGAAGAAGAAGAAGTGAGTTCACTGAAAATGCTACAAGTTACAACCACAAGAGGACTCATTGGTCTTGTCTTATATATATTTCAAAGTGCTCTCCAAAACAACCTTGCTTTTTGGCCAATATTACAAGTTTGACCCAATGCCAAGACGTTCTTTATTCGTATGAATGATTAATTATCTCTTTGATTACTTTGTGAGTGGCTGAGTGGGTAAATCGTAATTGTAATCTATCCAGGTACATTGCATTGATGGCTGCAAAGCTTATACTTAATGACTAATTTATGAAATATAACTAGCTTTACGATAAAGTGGACACCAACTTGTGTAAAAAATATTCTTACAATCTTAAAGTGCTCTATGATTAATTAATAGTCTAATACATGTGGTTATTTTTGCACTAATTTCACGTGCCTAAAACCAAAACAGTTTACATCTCTTTTATAAATTCGATGCCATAATGCATTTAATCAAAAATTAAATTAATAAAATGTTCTTAATAGTTTCCAGACTAACAACAAAATTCACGTGGGAAAATAAGTAGTTTAAGTCATGTGGGTCAAGACTAGCGAGATATTTTTGAGCCATTATAATTCATAACAAACAATGAATAGTTTGAAAATGTGTAACTAGCCTGAATTCAAATTGAACAAACACATTTTTATACATGAGCTTTACGTTTACTACTTTTAAGAACACCTGATGAAAAAGAAAACTAAAACAAAAAAAAAAGCTCAAGAGAAAAATTGATCAGTGAAGCTAAATAACAACTGAAAAAAGAGTGTAAACATTACACATCACATGCAATGCTTCAGAAGAGATGACTACAATCATTGATTCTCATTTTTCTCATATGGCAGCTCTCATGGCTCCTCTTGCAGCATCCCGTCTCATTTCATCCGCTTTCCCGCTTCCTCGGAAGTACATGTATACTTGCTGCACATATCAAATGTTAAAAACAGTTTTGCCTCAGAAACTATATCGATCCAGAGATTGTATCCGATTAGTTTAGGGTCTAGGAAGAGACCTGAATAACCCAGATGCTGACCACTGATTCAAGGCAGAATAACCCAAACCCGATGAAGTAGAAGATCTGTTAAAAATGATAAACAAGCATCATCGATGAGCGATAGTATGATCAGGAGCCTCCAAGTTTATCAGGTAAGATTTATGGTTACAGTTGAAAGATCAAGGGATGAAAAGGGCTTACCCCAACCAATGCCTGAGCGCTCAACACATCTATTGCAGGTAATATGCCCCTGTAAATTTGAAGATCATCAGACACTTGAGCATTTACTGTGTTAACCCTAGATGTCTAAAAGCTTTTGAGGAAACTTACGCAAGTGATTTTCCTTTGAAGACAATAGGTGGAGCAACTGCAGCAAAGACGCAGAAAAGTATGTGGAGCTGTAGCCAGAGAGAAAGGTTATGAATTTCAAGGTAACTCCGTTAAAAATTATGCAAAAGATGTGCCAATAATATCACCAAAAAAGTAAGGAACTCACCATGTAGAACAAGAAAAACCATCCAAAGTTGAATGCACTATCACTTCTGCAGGAATTCAAACACAATGGAAACATTGAGTAAGAAAACGTGGAAAATACTACGAACAGCTTCCTCCATTTATACACAACATTAGTGGCTAGGGATGGGAAATAAGAACCTGAAGGCACGGTAGAGAGGCCGATACCATAACACATAGCCTCCTGGGACACCCGATATGAAGTAAATAACGGCGAGAAGCCAAATTGTTACTCCTGAAAAAATATAACAAAACTCAAGGCTGTGAGATATGCAGAGAAAACCCATCACAGAAGATTTGGCCAGCGGAAGAGGGAAAATAACATGAGTAAGAAAAAGAAGAGACCTTCTCCTTTGATCCAAGCGGTAGTAACAGCGATGATATTCCAGAAAAGTGCAAGAACCAACCCTGTTGGACAAGGAAACATACGAGTAAAATATTACCATCTTACAATTTTCTTATGTAACCTATATTAGTGAAGTGAAAGTAAGAGTATAGTCCTGATTCTCCAAATAAGACTATACTTACGTACCCAAATATGTTGCAAATGCAATATACTGTAGCCTTTGGAGCCGAACAGGAATTTCATTCGCAATGTCATGGTGGATAAGTGGGAAGAAGGGTGGCCAGTTTTTCGCCTCGATAACAATTCCGGCTACAAATAAAGGCAATATAAAAGCAAAATCAGATGGCTATATACAGGAGAGTAAACCAGTGAATCAACCAGCAGAGACACAAACCATAGGTTACATTTAACACTAAATTCAAATCGTCTAAGTATCAGTATTGCAAAAAGGAGCTGAAAAGAGGTAAATGTTTGCTAAAACATCTAAACCATATAAGATTTGTACCTCGTGCAGCAGCATCCTCTTTCCGTTTGAGATCCTAGACAGAAAGAAAATAAATCAGTAACTGAAAACGAAAGATGCACAAAGTAATATCAAACTGGCTTTTCTTAATCACAAAAGATTAAAAGATGCCACTTTGACAAAACGAATTTTCTTGACGATCAGTAAAAGTGAGTTTCAAAGGGTGATGCTTGAGTTAAAGTTTTACCTGCTCTCGTCGTCTTAGCTCAGCTTCTTTGGCTTGAAGCTCCTTCTCCTTTTTTTTCAAATCCTGTATTCCCAACAATGAAACATTAAAACAAGAGTTATTCTAACGAATTCAAAATAACCCCCTAATCACAAAATGTATAACGTTTGCTCCATTGTCAACCAAACCTGTGTACCAGACCCAGGTCTGTCAAGAGGAATGTCACCATAAGCAAAACCAGCAGGTTCGGGAGGCAAAGGCGATAATCTGGAATTCGAAGCAGAGGGAACACTCCCAGGGTTCTATGAATGTAGACAAATAAACAATAAGTAGGCACCAAAATGGTCTTCAGAAACAAAAAGGAACACATAGCAAGAAATCATTGAACGAGCCAAAATAAAGAACTCGAGCACAAACCCTAAAGCGATCTACTTGTGCTCAACTACGTTAATCCATAGTATCAGCACTAGAAAGTAACAAAATTTCAACAAATTTGGATTACATTCTCGTCAATTATCGATTCCTTAACAGTATCCAAGGTTTAAGCTCGAAATCAACAGACACAGCCAAAGAGATAGCCAAGTAAAGCAAAAGCCCCAAAATACACCCTAAGTAAGATTGATAAGATGCAAGTACACCAATTTCAGAAAACCCAATTCGAAGAAGCTAGCTTTAAGGGAGACAAACGCCGGAGTTTCTTTCACTCTCTTCAGTGGTGTGAAATCTTTCAGAGAAGAGAAGAGCAAAAAGCTTACAGCAAAAGGATTGACTTCATCTTGTTCGTCGAATGGGTTACGATCGTAACGACCAGCCATGGTTAACCAAAGCTTATCTCTCGATTTCACAACTTGAAATCTGATCTGGTCGAGGAATCAAAAACTTTGAAAGGGGGAAATGGAAACGACAACAAATTTTATACATCCATTTTATATTCATTTTTTTTACTAATGTTTTCTGATTATTCCCTTTTTGTCAAATTATTTTTTACTTACCAAAAGAAAAATATTATCATTAATTTTTTTTATATATAAAAAATCTACCAAAAATAAATAGGAGGAGAAATTTGGTAAGGATGAGAAAATTATGTATGTACAAATCAAACCAAAACAGTTAACTATAATCTATTTTCATTTTTAGTTTTATTTTGAAAATTTTAATCAGTTTCTTTCAACTAAACAATTGCTTTTAATTAGTTTTTTTCATTGATCAGTACCTATAATTTTCAACTGTAGTATCTAATTTTTCTAAGTTTCCAACTGAAGTAGGGAAACTAAAAAAAACAGTGGAGAGATATTCAAATTGAAGTAGTCGTAGGTTTCAAATTGAAGTAGTCGTAGACTTCACATGTTTCATTCTGGTCCAAGTCTCAGTTGGAAAATGGGCCAAAGCAAATACTTTTTTTTTTTTTTACTTCAATTTTTTATTTATTTGTAATTGGTTCAATAAGAATAAGTTAGGAAAGGGAGTCTCTTTATTTGATTTTAAAAGTAGTTGACTAGTTGAGTGATGAAAATACATAATGGACATGAGCTTTTACGAATCTTAATATGAACCATTTTTCCATCACTTCAAAGAAAGCTATATTACTAACTATGAAAGAGTATAATAATAAATTGGTTAATGAAATAAAGAAAACACTATCTATGTGTATTAAAAAACCTTCTTTTGCTATATGTGTTTTGTTGTTGTTGATGTCTCCTGAGTTCTCTTATGCTTTACTCGGTGACTACTACCACGCCTTAATCTTCTGTTATTACCGTTACTCGTCCTCCTCTTTGTCATCGAGCTTGATGACGATGGATCGATCCAGTTATTGTCTTCTTCTACCGCTTTGCTCCATCGTTCTTTAAAAGTTTGAAGCTCCCATGTCGATTGTCTCCTTATCTATTTGTTTCATCAGACGACACAAACACTATGATGCTAAGTTTTTCCCGTCTATTGAACACTTTAAGAAGAAGAATTTGACCGAGAATTCATTGGTTAACTCACCTCGGTTCTTGAATCAAAGGTTGTATGGCCGTGTCTCTTGAAACATCGACAAAAAAAAGAATCACAAAGGAGTTTTTTAGTGAAAACCAAAAGAATTAGAAATGGAGAATGTTTTTGAGTCGATTAGACTTACCCTGGGCCTAACATCACGCGCAGTGGTCTGCGAATATTATAGAAACAACAGTTATATAGGTAATTGTTTGGTCATCTGGATCATCAAAACAAGTCCTTTCTGTATTGGTTTTAAGAGAATATTATACCTTCTTTTCAGGAACACTTTCACCTAAAGTTTGAATGCCTTGATGAACGATATACTCACTATCCACAATCCCTACGTTTTTTGTTCGGTCTCCCTACAACATTCATACCGGATCATATATTAAAAGAGAATTGGATAAAAAAAAGCAGAAATAGGAAGAAGAATGGTGACAGTTTTTGGCGAAAGCATTAGCTTAATGTAAGTTCATGGTTAGTACCAAAAAATCTTGGAACTATAGTTATGATTTATACAGAAAAAAGGTAACCTGTGCGCAGTACCCAAGTTTCATATCCATTCCCCATCCATGAACCAAATCATTCTACAGAAATCAAAACAAAAATGTCAGCAAGTGAAAAGTTACGTCAGGATCAGATTACTAACTTATAGAGGTAAATAGCCATCAAGTGAAAAGTTACCTGTATAAGATTCCAAGTGCAAAACCAAGCAGCTTTCGAAAACACCGGAGCCATTCCTTCAACAAATCTGAAAACAGAGAAAACAGAACAAAATGTATCAATATATATATATAGCCAATGATTCCAAGAAATTATTCATCGCCGACCAAACCATTACCCGGTGCAAGGAGGATCTGCACTAGTATTAGAACACCTTTTATGGCCTCTATTGATGTAAACTCTCCTGTGTTTTTGACATCATGTTGATATAAGTACCAAATGCATTGAAAACAAAAAGAAAAGACACTCATAATGAGGACTTTTAACCTATGAAATTTCTTTGTCCTAGAACGTAGTGTGATTTTATGGTGGATTTCAGTTGAGTTATGATCCAAAGCCGGTTGAGATATCTCCAGTCCCACTGATTTAACTATCCTCAAATATCTGCAGAAAATAATTGTCACTTAGTTCTGTGACTCTCATGATTATTTGAAGACTTTTAGTAGAAAAGAGTAAAGAAGAACAACTTATACCTCTCTGGATTGAAATTCTCTACTCCAAGATCCTCGTCCCAAAGAAAAATATAATCATAAATGGATACAACATCTGGATGGAGGAATCGTTTTGCAAACCACCTATAATAACCAAGAGAGGAAAATTCATTTACCAATGTCACACAATAGAACTTCTAAACAAAACATTGTTTCTTTGTTATCTGCTTTAAAGATACATCAACTGACGATGCCTTAGACTCCACCAAAAACTCAACAAAAACTATTATCATCCTATATAACTTGGTATCCCAAGTTGAAGCAGAACAACTGGCATATAGAATGAGGAAGATAACTACCATTTAGTCTGGTTTTGTGCAACTATATGTATGGCCTTTGAACTCCAATCTAGATCCCACCATTTATCCATATTTCCATCGTAATGGAAAAGAACAATCGTGAAATTCGCGGGAAGAAACTGAGACACAAGAGCTTTACGTTAAGAGGAAACCTCTGTTCTTCTTCAATGCCTAGGATTATGATCAACTCAATACATAATGCAATACCTTCTTTACAAGAGCGTCGACATTACCCTTTTGCTTAATTCCTACGGGTATTGCCAACAAGTTACGGTTAGTCATTTCAACACCCTGTGTTAAAAAATCACAACAAACATCAGAAACTCCTCTAGCAGTCTAGCTACAAATATACTCGATAAAAAAACATATTCTGTGATTCTTGATGCCTCTAACCTTTGACCTCAGACTACTTCTAGACCAGAGAGGTTTTAATTCAAGATCTGATCTAGGCTGTATGATTCCATGAGGCAAAACTTTTAATTTATCGTTAACTGTTTCAGATTCCTGAGCACCATCCACAAGTGAAATTTACATTAAACCGGTAACACGAAACGAATGAAGATTATAAGATGACTCTCCTAGTATCAAAACATTACCTTTGCCATGTCAAAAGGATAATCTGTTTCTTCTATCTGAACAAAGTAAGAAATAAGTTTACTTATCTAATAATCAAACCCCCACATCAGACTGATAGAAGTGGTTCCAACATTACCTCTGTTTGTTCAAACTGAATATTTGTGGTCTTATACCAAAAGATCAAAAGAGCTGTACACATGAGAGCCAAAAAAGGCTTCATTTTCCACCCGGATTTACTCTGCATTTTACCATGATTCAAAGCTGTAGTCATTGAAACAGTAAAACTGGGAACATAATCAGATTCTATAAAGTTAAACAAAGCTTATACCACTTCTTGAGCATTGGTTTTTTTTCTAACAAGTGACTTCAATGATTTGATCGACTTCATAGATGGCAAACCATGTATCATAATCTACTTTAACAATCTTCAAATGCATCAAAATCTGTTACACAATCAAATAAACCCACTTAAGACTAATTTTGCAAGAAAATTTATAAATCTTTCAAGAATCAGGAAACTCACCAGACTCCACACTGCCTTTGTGTTCTCCCAAGAACAGAGAACAGGAAACCACCTCACTGGTCAAGAAATCTCAGTCTTATGGGCTTATTTTAAGACCATGCATGTTGCTTTAATCAGTCTGAATTTCCCACAAGAAAAATCATCAATCACTACTACTTACACTAAGCAAAGCACTAACAAGATTAGCAACAAAAATTATCTCCAAAACATGTTAATGCACAAAAAATTGAAACTTTTAGAAGGCATAAGAAGCCAAAAAACTAAAAAAAAAATTCCCAGAAAACAGCAATGAATATTTGAAGCGGCAAAGTTTGTAACAGCAAACAAGAGATGGCTTCTCTCAGGTTTTACAAGCTGACCTAGAAGACGACGAATCATCTGGGGCCTGAGAAACCGAAACGGCTAAGCAAAAATTTTACAAGAAAAAATACAAAAAAAAATTATGAAGAGAAAAAAGGGAAAGATTTATTAATTGTTTTAGATCTAAGAAGAGTAATTACTGTTTATTGTTATAACGAGGATTTTAAAAAGCTCCCATTGATTGCAAATTTATTGAAATAAAAGGAAATCATTAAATTCAAACCTCTCTCGGTTTCTTCGAAAACAGAGAGAGAGAGAGAATGGAATCGACAAAGGTCAATGATGAAAATAAATTTGTCGAAAGATAGGATCTTTAGTTAGGGGAGACACAAATTTAGAGACCCTCGAAAATAAATTACGGAACAGACGAGAAGAAAAATTCAAGAATTAGACGAGACCTGAAGCATGCAGAGTCACTGCAATGAAAGTAGACAAGACAAGAGCCAGCTCAAGAGAAAGAGAAACAGAGGAGAAGAGAAGAAGAGTTTTATTTTTGTTTGCTTTGCATGAAAGGAAGACAAAACTGATGATTTTTTTTATAGCCACGAATAATTTTCTATAATCTATCGATCCATTGAATGAAACTAAACGAAACTAAACCTAATAACAGATATTTTGGTGGGATCAGGTAAACATAATCAAATAAGAAAATAAAAATAAAATTATAAAGTAATAAAAAGCAAAAAATCTTTAGAAAAGTTGGTAGTGACTCGTGTCCTACTCCTATGTCAAATAGTACTTTAGAAGGTTGACAGAAAATAAATAAATAAGATAATCATACTTTGAAATTTTGGATTCTTCGACCTAATACGAGACAATTTTATTTATTTTAATAAAGAAAAGAAATAAAAATTAAAATAAAAAAAACAATTCCATGTTTTTGCGTACTTCCATTATTTTTAACAATTACTTCACTGAGAGAGGAGTTGTTGACTTACGCAACTCCAAAACCCAATAAGTTAAAAACCAATTTTTTTGTTTCTTCTTCTTGATTTCTGCAACCAAAATGTGACTTGCTAATACATATGCTCCATCCGAATTCATGTTTACTTTTTGTTTTTTTCTTTTGTTATAGATTTTTCGTTTTTAGATCTTTCGTAGTTTAGCTTGATATACACAGTTTTCAGTTTAGATACTACTAGCTAGTAGGCCCGGGCAAAATACCCGGAACCGAATACCCGAACCGAAAAACCCGAACAATATCCGAACCGAACCTGAATTCGATTTTTAAAAATATCCGAATGGGTCCTAACCTCCTACCCGAAAAAAACCCGAACCGAACCCGAACCGAATCCAATACCCGAATGTACCCGAATATACCCGAATACCAATATACACCTAAAAATATTAGTTATTTTTATATTTATAATACCCGAAATACCTAAAATTACAATCATAAATCCGAATATATTAGGTATTTTAGATATTTTTGGTTATATTTGGGTAAAGAGTAACCAATGTATTTTCGAGAAATCGGGTATTTCGGTTAGATTTGGGTATATATGAGTTAAAAACCCGAACCCGACCCGAACCCGAAAATATTCCGGGTATTTTTGGTTATTTTCGGGTATTTTGCTTTTTTTATTAAAATACCCGAACCGACCCGAACCCGAACCGAACCCGAACCGAATTTTTAGAATACCCGAATGGGTCTTGACCCCTATCCGAATAGACCCGATACCCGAAAAAAAAGAACCGAACCCGAACGGGTACCCGAATGCCCAGGCCTACTAGCTAGCTAGTATTTAGATTCACTTCTCTATTGAAATATTTTTTTCTTTTAAAGATTTTATCTTTTTGTTTTGGTTGGATATTATTCGGTTTGATTCTGATTAGATTTTCTAGCAAAAGATCCTGAATGTTTTAATACTTTAGATCCAAGAACCTTTTTGCACTAACCGGTTGTTGAGCTAATGTAAAAAGTTTGAAGAAATCCGAAAACGGCAAATGGGATAAAACGTTAAGACTAATACTTACGAAACGTGAAAGAGTTAGTATAATTTTTAGGTAGTTTGCAAGTTTTTCTTTGAAATTTAGATGGTTAACAGGTGATCTCATCATAGAAGTCATGTAAGAAATCCCTGAAACGGTGAATTAGGTTAAGACTAATCTTTTCGAATTACCAAAAGTGGAAAGTTTTAATTTTTAAAGTTTCTGATTGATTAAAAGAATTTGCAACGCTATAAACTTGTTATTTTATCCTGTTAAGCAATTAGTGGAAAATGACACTATACAGTACACAATAACATATCGATTACACAATAAATGATATTGTAGACAAAATAAGGACTACACAAAGGCATTAGCACATCAGTTAGGAATTAAACTTATAATTAAATCAATATGAGTCGCAGTTCCACGGAACAACAACAACAAATCAAGAATTGAAGCTACTCAGCCAAAAAAATGATTTACAACAACCATTAATTTCCGAGTATTTCTTCTGGGGATTATATAGTTCGATCCCACAGCAAAAGACTCTGCTAGATGAATCTACATATATATATATATATAAACCTCAGTGAGATTGGACTCTAGAGACACAGACTTCTTTGCAATATACAGCACAACAACTTGCGGACCGCATATATGATCAATTGTTGATTTTGCCTGTGGCTATGGTTCTTGAAGAACTAGGTTTAGTTCTTGAGCCTTTCTTGTTATTAGACCGCCTCTTCTATATTCAGAGCAAAAAGAAAAGACGGCCAAAACAAGGGAAATAAGTGAAGAATTTGAGATCCAGAAATTACTCTTTTATCGGTTAGATTCATTAGGAATGTGATGAAAGCAGTATGCTTAGGCTGTTTACCTTGCGAGAACTGGAAGAATCCTTTGAATCTTGTGCAATCCCGCTGAACAAATTTGGCAAATTTCTAGCCTGCATTGTGGTTTATTTACTTTTATTGGTGAATGAGAATCAGCGTAGGAAACTAATTGAGATTCCAGAGAGTGGTGTTAGCTCAAGTACCTTTCATCTGCATGAAGATCAACACCGACAATCCGTGGAGCTGAGACAGTTGACCGTATAACTGTACCGAACACTGCTACAAGCTTCAAGAGCATATCCAAGGAGACATTTACCGGCCTGCACAGTCATGTAGCTCAGATTAAACGACAGCAGATAAAAGTCATAAACACACATGATTGTCTATAAAACTCTGTTTAACCAGAGGACTATTGAGTGTATCATTTGAACTGAAAATGTTTATCAGTAAATCGGTCTTACTGCCCCGGCTCTCATTTATAAACCAAGTTATGAAGTCATTATAGCTCAAAAGCAAAAAATATAGTCTAAGGTGGAAATATGATATGATATCTTTACCTCTCTGTCCTGCTACCCAATAAGCTTGTGAGGACAGGGACCAACTGAGAAAACATATCCAATGTGAGAATCTCTATTTTATCGGTTAGAATACTGATCACATCTGCTTGAACCTGTCCCGATATCTATGAGTTAGCTTATCTAAACATACAAACATCAAAGAAAAGTAATCTACTGAGAATCTGAGAAACCCACAGACTGATCTGTCAGCTTTCTCAATGCCCCGATCGCGCCTTTAACATCGCTACGCTCCCAAAAATGTCTTACAATCTGCATTTTGAGAAATCAACCACTTGCAAATTAATACTAAAACAAATAATGGTTCAGGAAAAAGAACAGAAAAGAAATAAGAATGCTTACTTGTAACTTTGTCAACCTCGATTGAAGAGTGGTTAAGAACTTGTTATGAGTTAGCATAAGATTTTCAGTGATGTCACTATCATTTTCCCTCTCAGATATATTCGGCTCTTCCTTCTGCACAAACCAAACAATCAATTACGTTTGTCATGTATACACTACTTAAAGTAAAAAAACTGCCAGCCAAGTTGCCAAGCTAATCATTGCAAAGTACCTGGGGCAAGTTATCACAAGCTGGTTGAATTTGTGTTGCATGTGTCTCATCCAATGTCATATCAGCCACTTGATCAATGACAGTGGGTGTAGTCAACATTTGTGTTGGACTAACGCGGTGCCTGGATGCTATATGAGATGTATCAGATGTCATGTTAACAGATTGATTTAGTTTCGTGGGCATTACACGTGCAGGAGAAGTCCTAGCTGGACGTACTGATGTTACTGGGCACTCATGAGATGTCATGTCTGCCTGACTGAGTGACACAGGCCTTACTCGTGCTGCAGAATTCCTGCGTGGTCGCCTTGATGTTACAGAAGCCTCCTCAGATGTAATATTTGTCGCCTGATTGAATGTCACAGGCAATATACGGGATGGAGAAGTTCTAGATTCTTGTGTTAAACGAGGCTCATCATATGTGACATTAGTAGCTTGACTGAGTATCACAGGCATCACTGGAACTGAAGTCCTAGCTGGTTGTGTTAAAAGAGGCTCATCAGATGTCATGTTACTATCCCGATTGAGAACAATAGGCATCACTCTGGCTGGGGTACTCCTAGCTCGTCGTGTTGATATGACAGGAGTTTCACCTGTCTGTCTTGATGTCTTACGCGGATCTTCCAGCACTGCATTAGTGTTCTGAGTTATTGTTGTACTGGCTGCTTCGGTATGAGTAATTTTTTCTCCTCTCTCAAACTTCTCAACTAACGAGCGTGTCCTCCCCGAGACAACATTTACTGCAAATATATCAATTTATAAGGAAACTGTAACCAGCCAACTTAAATGTTAACAAGAAAAAACAAAGACAGCAAATGTTTTGAATTTCTAACCTCCTTTAACAATCTTCACAGGGTTCGATTCTCTGCTGCTGCTAGGGTATTCAGTGTCTACAGAACAGAAATTTTATACCGGTCAATTACTAATTGATCATTGTCTCAAAACTAAGTAAGTGAACTACAACAGACTACAGATGATGAACAATTTGAAGCAAGTTCTAACAGTAGCTAAAGATTTAGATTGTAGCAATCTATACGCTACTGTTAAAGACTTTTCTGCCGTTTTATTTATTCTTCTCTAAAATTTGGTAACGAGATATAGTCTAGTAGCTTTCAGTTTGACCAAAAAAAAAGATATAGTCTAGTAGCTCTTCTAAATAGATGTATTTTGGCATCGTGGACTGTCTTTTAGTTCACTCATAAGCCTGTCACATTAATGTGCATAAGATTTGGAGTTTGCTTTAATAGAAAAAAACCCCATAAATTATTCAGTTCTGATTTTTGAATCAAGAACTTACTTTTCTGTTCATCACCAGGTTTTTCTGGTGAAAGAACTCTTTCAGTTTTGCTGCAAATATCCTCTACCTCTCCTGAGTACTCCATCCCACCTTTGTCAAAAGTTGCAGAATCAGCGGACATTACTCTTTTTAAGTCATTGTACTTGCTATTTGATGACCTATGGACACGAGGTGGTTTAAGGAACATACCTGAGGCAGAATTGCAGAGATATTCAAAAGATAGATTAAATATATGAAAGCTAAAGTTTCATGAAACTAAGTCTGAGAACAGGGAACCTACGATTCGTTTCATCAGTCGGTGGTTCCGATGATAAACCTTTTTCAAACTTGTCTGTAATACCCTTGATGGTAGAATCTTCAGCATCAAAAGGTTTACTACCATTCTGTTCTGAAAGAAGTACATTTTGAGTTTGTGGTTCCTCCTCAACAGCCAATCCGCTTTTCTTCCGAGTTGCAGATTGAACAACCGCTGACTGTTTTGATTCTTCAAACTTTGCTAGCGTCTTTCTTACATGAGCTGGTCTTAGCAACATACCCGATTTAGTTCTTGAGAAAGTGATAGATTCCCTTTCTGAATAAGAAGATTCCTCTCCACTATCACTATCCCGCGATGCAACAGTATGCATACTAGAATACTTATCTCCTGCTTGTCCAAAATATGTTGCATTCTGCTTCTCGCTCGCCATAGTAGCTACTTTTCCTGATTCCAAAGGCAATGTCGCTTTCAGAGATCCTGGATTTTGCGCTACATTCGAATTTCCACCTGTGGCTTTAAACAAAGAGAGTTCAAATCAGACCAAGCATAAGGAATAAGCACACATAAGTGAATGACATAGAAAAATTATGTTGATGGCCAAGAAACTGTCAAAGCCAAAAAATCATATGCCATCCAAAAAATCTCAAGTATTGTCTAAAGACTACTTTGTTTCATACAGTAACGAATACTGCGATTTGCAAGTCTAGATACCTTTTTCTGTTGCTGATCACAAGAGTTCCTACTACAGTTGCAATGGTTTACATTAAAAACACTTCTGACTAAGTCAAATAACATTTTTCAGCATTGATTCAGGTGCCAAGATAGCAACTAGATAACCTCTTACATCAGATGTGATTTATATTGACAGATGAAGCCCTAACATATATCTGTCATACCACACTTGAAAGGACATGAGCATAAAAACAAAATTAACATTCACTCACAGTCAACGTATATGTTCTTTATCTCTTTTGTCTCATAATCTGGGGATACACTGCCCCTTGGGCCACTTCCCATTCTCTCAGACTGATCATTGAAGACACTGAATCTTTTCAGCATGCATTCATTCTTATCCTCAGATACTGCTCCATATGGCTCAAGTTCCTGAGAAACAAACGCGAACTTTATTAAGTTTAAGTTTTTCACATGAGGTATGGACAGTGACATTAGGTTACATACCGATATATCTGAAACCCATATCCCAACAGAATTTCGGTAATATGAACAACCAATGAACTTTCCTTCGTTGATGCAGAAGTCACCAAGGGTTGACCATCCCATATCAACACCATCCCGGCAAATCACTGGTTCCCATGAATAAACCTGCATTATGTGCATGAACTTATAATATCAGTGTTTCACTCTGGACATCATCTAAGTTGTATAGTTGAGCACAAAGACAATCAGAACCTTCAAGCCATCATCCAATCCACAGAAAAGGGTTTGACCATCTGGATGAAAAGCGATTGCACGAACTCCAGCAGCCTGTAAAACAAAGGACACCACATGCCAGGAAGAAGGTTGACAATAGTGCAAGTAAAACTAAGTCTTATGGAAGGACTATAGAGTGAACCCAACGCTAAACAGGACATATTAATAACAAAACACAAGGTCAGGTACCTCTGGTCTAGTAGATCCAATCAGTTCAAACGTTTCCAAATCCCAGAATTTCACAGTTCTGTCAGCAGAACCTGAAGAGTGAGTGATAGGACAATATATGAAGTCAGAAGAACACAAAACAAAGCTTGTGGATGTAAAACAGAAAATTATCAATTAACCGAAAGCTGCCACCAGTTTAGCCCTAAAACTCACCTGTGGCTAGGAGAAACTCAAGCGGATGGAAGTCTAGGGAACGGATAGGTCCTTCATGAAACTTAAACTCGTGCAAGAGCTTTCCAGCAGTCAAATCCCATACCTATTGAGTACAATAAAGAGTCTAAAGAACAATCATTAGGGAACAAAATAATGTACTTGTTGATACTGCTGGTCTTACCTTTACAACGTTGTCAAGTCCTCCAGACACTACCCAACGACCATCAGGACTAAATCTGATAGTGCTAATACCGCAAGTATGACCCTTGTATGTTTGGATGCATCCCTTCTTTCTAGTATCCCAAACCCTTAGATTTGTGTCACTAGATCCCGATGCAAGAAATTCACCAAATGGATGAAACTCAACAGCAGAACAATTGGATCTGTGTCCAGTAAAAGCTCTAACCACTACACTTCAAGAGCAAGAGTGAAAATATTAGACCTCATTATCTGAAACTAACTATCAATCACAGGACTTATAATTCCTACAGACAATAACAAGTGCCTCTAACACACTCTAGGGATAGAAAATGAGAAGAAAAAATCAATCAGCTTACTCTTTGCTTCTTCTAGATCCCACAGCTTTATCACACCTGAAGAAGCTCCACCGAGCACCAAAATTTCTCCCGAGTTAAAAGCTACTGAATCAACCGGGCTTGTATGCCCACAAAGACTCTGCCAACAACACATAATATAAAATATCATCATTCTTCTATCCATAGAAACAAGAATGTCAATTTTGACATTTTTCATACAGATTAGCTGAAATAACTGTAGTAATGGCTATAAATGGCAAATCTAGAAAAAAGAGAAGAACTTTTGAAACGAAGATTGCAAATGAAGACCAACAAGGAGAAACACATTACAAAAAGAGAGAAATGTGAAACAGACCATTAGCGAAGTGGTTTTGCCGATTGACCAAAGGTTGACCTTATAATCATCTCCACCAGTTAGAAGGAGCCGTGACGTCTTCTTTCCGATACTTAGACAATTCACATTTCCGGAATGTGCCACAAACTCTTCTATTTCCCAAATCAAGTCAAGAACAAATCATATCCAGAACAAAACAAGAACAAAGTCAAGACAAACAGAGATAACAATGTCTCTTCTACAATCTGGTCTCGGTTTGGTTTTAAGATGACAGAGGCGGAAATTATAACCCAGAAGAAAATTTCATGAAAAAAATTCAAACTTGTCAAATAACAATTTACCAAAAAAAGAACATAAAACGCCACCAATGCAGATAAACCCTAACGCTACAGTGATTGAACTACATCAAATTTCTCAAGTTCAGGGTGAAAATAATCAAAATGTATGTAGCTAAAGTTTGTATCTTTTGTTATTCAGGTTATAAGTTTCCAATAATATAGCAGCAAAGAAGAACTATATAAGGATACGTAGCTTATATCCACGCTTCGCCATCATCTACTCGATTTCAGTAGATTCATGCGATTACGAAGCTGAAACCAAATCTCCAGCCTTTGTTATGAATCGAAAAGAATGAGAGCTGGTGGTGTAAAAATTCAAAATGTGACTAGACGACAAGACAGAGTTGAAGATTTCTCGGAGATTAAGAAAATAGAAACTTGAGACAAGAGAGATTGCTTCCTGCTGAGATTAAAGATTTAAAGAAGAACTTAGAAGGGAACGAGAAAAAGAAAAGAAGAGATTTTTGAAAGAGTGAGCAGACGAACAAAACAGAGAGACCAAGATGAAAAAGGTAAAGCGACGAATTTTTCTCAGATTCTGTCATTTTCAATTCTTTTTTTTAAAAAACATTTCCGGTTGTTGTGTTTTATTTTATTTTGTTTATTTATGTCATTGATGATGAGAATAATACACAGAAATCGTTGAAACCTTCAGAATATTGGACAGTCGTCGCTACTTTTTTCTGACGAAAATACCCTTCCCTTGTCATTAGTACTAATCGTATTTATAAGCTGATCAAATTACGGAAAGACTTTTCTTTTCTACTACTTTTGTGTACACGTATAAATCAACCTTTACATTTAAATATAGCACTCACAAGTCATAACTAACGGATTAAAATATTGTTTTTATCATGATTGAGTAATAAGATAAAAACAATGTTAATAAGAATGTTCGGTTTGACGAAAAAGAAAAATAACAAGTATTACCGGTTAATCGTAATTCGTAGTCACACAACTTGACTGAAATAATCAAATAAATAAAATACTCGTCGACTGATTCCATTTTGAGATAACCAACTCAACGGCCTTAATTAAGATTGAATTTCATACCACATTGAATTTTTCGTATAACCAATAATACACGGATACAATGTCTACAACTAGATCGTAGTAAATGACTAAATAACTACCACTTAGTTGTTTTCCAAAAAAAAATTAATGAAAAATTCAAAGTTTCGTTGTGGCCTTGTGGGTAGATTAATTGATCTGAAACTCGGAAGAGGTTGATTGAAATTTTGGCCTTGTATTTTTGATTTAACAATTTTTAACAACGTTTTGAATGTTTTAGATATTTGTGTTCTAAGTGTTTTTTTTCCTACGCCACATGTGTTTGGGTTTAAACGTTCAATACTATGTTCATATTTTGTTGGTCAAAGGTGTTCACACTTCCAAAATGGCAAAATGTAATCATATATTACTCCAAAAAAAAAAAAAAATCCATATTATAAATCCAAAAAATAATCACAAAACCGAGGTTTGTAAAAGTTATTTTGCTGAAGATCATCGCCTGGTTGGTATGATCTGTGACATTTGCATAAATTGTATTAAATTGATTTTTTTTTTTGGTTATAAATTATTACTCTAGTTGTTATAATTTGTTTCTCTTTTGGACATGAGCACAACATGATCTATAAGTGCTTCCCATGTTTTGGTGTTTTAAGCTTTCTTGCATAAAAAGGGTCAATTCCAATCAACAACTTTATTTGGTGGTGTAAAAAAGAAGATCAGTTATTTCAATAAGAAATGTTTGGTACTTCCAAATTTGACATAAAAACTAAAATTAACTCAAACCAAACTTTTTGATTCGTCGATGTTATTTTGAAATTATCCCATGAATGCAAACTTTATGAATTTTGAAAAGTACAATTTATTGTTGAGTAATATTACAAGATCTATAGAGTTTTTTTTTTTTTTGTATATTATTACAGTATATATAACAAGTAAATAATTTAATTCTAAAATACTCCCAGCAATATTTTTACTGTTTTATTAGATGTTTTTCTATAAGAAATCATCCAAATTTACTGTTTTAATCAATGCGAAATGTTTGGTACTTATACGGATTGATTTAACTAGCCAAAACAAGAAGTTAATGGACTACACTCTTCCAAACACGTCAAAAGTAGTAGGTTTGTTTAGATATGAGAGATCAAACTTTGAAAATAAAGAACTTTTCTCTTCTTTTTTTTTTTTAAAGAACTTTTCTCTTAGACAAAGGATGTTGGTAAAACGAAGTTAGAGACCTTGTTAGGGGATCATATTTTACCAGACCGCGGGAATAGCGATGTGAGAGCAAGATCTTCTTGTTCTTGCATACCGCCACCGGTGTGGATGGATCAACCAAATCCTTCCTGCTCCAGTCAAATTCATCGCGAAACTGAGTCCGGGAAGAAGAACAAGAAAGCAAATCAATAGTATAAATCTTCTCCCATAAGTCTTCTGATGATTTCAACCTCCAAATCTCTTGGACCAACGTATCCGGTTCTCTTTTCGACATGCACAAACCATTATCCAGAGTGCACTTGTCAATATGCCTCGGATCTGAACCAGCAATAGCCGGTTTAATCTTAGGCAGCAACCGGAATGATTCGGTATGAATATCAAAAGCCACTACTTCGATTTTATCATTATATGGCTCCGTGAACCAATATACTGACCCGTTTGCACATGCTGGTATTTGATCATGATATATCCGATAACTTGGAGTGCAAGCCAAGTACCTCCAAGCGTTTGCCCTGAAGTCAAAAACCTCGCACTTGGTAACTCCCTCGTTTGGACTCGAGGCATCAGCATTGTACTTATCAGAATTATACAACCACACTAATTTGTAATTAGTGGCCTTCACGAAGGCTAGATGAAAGACTGACTCCATGTCTATCCAATCTCTAAAAGTAGGGTTAAACTTGTGCATCAAAATTTGAAACCTAGCTGGAGGAAGTTGCCGTAACCACTGTGTGGCCGGATTAACAACATATACGGCTTCCGATTTCGGGGAATGGATGCAGAAAAGGCCATCGCAACATCCAGAAACATAGATATAGTGGGCGAAACTTTGAGGAAAATTGAGAAGAGTAAAGGATAGAAGAGAACCCGATTCCAAGCAGAATGACCTAAAACCAATGTCTGTGTCTGGACGAGCTAGAGGCATTAGTTTTAGGGGATCTTTTTCAGTGATCACCATAACTCTAGGATGACCCACACGGAATTGCTCGGCGATCCTCAAGTGTCTCTCTTCGAAGGATTGAGACTCGATCGTCGATCTCCATTGTTTCGAGAGAGTCGGAATAGTGCTTTCACTGGAAATCGCAAGAAGATTTCCTCCACGACGTCGTTTGGCAGAGATGATGGAGCAATCACTGGCTTCTCGTTTCTTCTTCTTCTTCTTCTTCGTATCTTTCTTCTATTTCTCTTTCTTTGTGTTGATAATGCAATCACCACTCGATTCTCTTCCTCCTCCATCAATATTATTGCCTCTCTCTCTCTCTCTCTCTCTCTCTCTGCTTAGCAAATACTTATCTCTCAAGACTCAAAGGAATGAAAGGAACTAAATCAACCACTTAATTCTCTCTAGATCCCTCATTTTAATTGTCGAATATATTTTTCCATAATTAAGAATTTACATTTTCTATAACCATTTTGAGCAATTATGGCACGTGGCGATCACGTATGTGCAAAAAAAGGTAATGGCCCATGATATGACATGGGCCCAATTACAAAAAAAAAAAAAAAAAATTGCGTTGATGATGCAATCAGTCAATCACCACTCGATTCTCTGCCTCCTCCATCAACTGCAAATATTAACTCTTAAAAGGAATTAATAAGGAAATAAATCAATCATTTAATTGTCGAATATATATTTTCTGTAAGTAAGATTTTACATTTGTATATATCAATGACTTAATTAGCATAAAACCTCGACTCTTTGTGTCTCGGTCGTTACTCTGAAAAATTATTCCACATCTTGGTACGTACTTTTCCTACCTCTTCGATGAGAAAAACCCAGCTTTGCTTTTTTTTTTTTACTATGCTGAGAAAAACAGAGTAAATTGTGTTTTAATTGTCTTTGGCTTGTTCCCTTCTATCGTTAATTGATGAAAGTTATTAAATATCCTATAGGGATGAAAGAAAATTTGCGAAACTAATCATCTTTAGGATTTAGTATAGGCATTCACATAACTCTGTATAGGTGTAATGAAACTGTTTAACGTTTTATCCAATTTGTGTTTATGTGTTCTTACTTCTAATTTTCTTTCTCTGTATTCATATACAGATCGGTGGATTTTCTTATTTACTTCTAAGGTTTTGGGTGTGATTTTCAAATGGAGAGTTCAGAGAAACCGATTTTAAAGCTGAAACTTCTTGTCGACAGGAAGACGAACAAGGTTGTCTTGGCTGAGGCTGGTAAGGATTTTGTTGATGTGCTCTTTGGTTTTATGGCGCTGCCAATGGGTACTATCGTGCGATTGCTGGAGAAGAACAGTCGGAATCAAAAGTCTCAAGCCACTAGGCCAGCTACTATAGGCTGTTTTAACAATCTCTACAAGAGTGTTGTTGATATGGACGAAGATGATTTCATGACGGAAGCTAGTAAGGATATGCTTTTGTATCCGAAATTTGTGAAAGAGAAGCAATGCAGACAGCTTAAGCTTTACATAGGTGATGATACCGAGGAGTTTAAAGTTCCTGATGGTGTTTGTGATGAATTATTTGTCAGCCAGAAGACATCTTTCCACATTACAGAAACTATGGAAGTAGCGGAATTTGCGTCTATTATGATCGCCAGGAGAATACTTTTGAGGCTAGGTTATGATAGTTTCAAGAAGTTGGATATAATGTCTGTAGATGTTGGTCACGAAGAGGTAACTACATTTTTTGTGGAATCATTACTACATGCCACTTTGTTTGCCCTCTGATTTATGATATTTTGAATCCAGGTTCTATCTCTGCTCCATTGCTTGTTCTTTTCGGAAACTCCTTTCACTGATGTCTTCTTGAAGAAGCATAGCTCTTGTGGTATGACAAGGTCGCATGACATGCTAACGCTACCCGTGGAAGATGGTGAAGGAGGAAAGTATTTTGTTACAATCCCACCCACTGTATATGTTGAGAAGCAGGACCAGGAGGATCTTTATTATGCTGAAAGCAGACAAGCATTTCGTGGTAGCTTCTTGAAGAAGCATAGCTCTTGTGTGGAAGATGAAGGTGAAGCAGGAGGACCAAATGAAGTTGTGTCACTCACTATATTTGTTAGGAGGCAGGACAGGAAGGTTCTTTATGCCGAAAGTGGACAAGACTTTGTGGATCTACTTTTCACTTTCCTGGCTATCCCTTTGGAGTCTGTATGGGAAATAACTAGGATGCATTGGCAACTTTTGTAGAAGCTTGAAGAACTTGAGCTCTAGTGGAGGCACAAATGCATCTAGTAACACATGTATGCTTCCTTTGCAATACAGTTTGCAGAAATCGTTGCTTGGTGTCAGTTATTTAAACAATGACGGTAGTTGTCAATGGACATCTCATAGTAACAGTGGGATTGTGAAGAGAGGGGCAACATACATGATCACAGATGATCTAACAATCACAGCTGCAAACTCATGCTCAACTATTTCCTTACTGGAGAAGTTGCACACAAACTTGAGTTATATGGAGGAACATGTAATTAACATCAGTAAAGCAGAGGTATGTTTTTTACTCTTCCAAAAAATCATGAATTTTTTTTTACAATTATCTCTTTTGTATTTAGTTAATTTTGTTGAGTGTGTCTGACTTGTAATGCAGGCTATCAATTTGCTAAACGCTTCATTGGTGACATCTACTCCTTTGACCACCACTCTCTCACTCCTTGACGAGTACGAGTGTTAAGCTTTTGTTTTGCTGCCTTAATCAATCAGTTTCCATATGCATTTCCAGGATTTTATTTCACATCAGTTCAAGAATAATATTGATATGTGATCGATAATCGCTAGATTTTCTTTTTTTTGGATTTGGAAAAAGATAAATGATTTTTAAACAAATTCTGTCTGAACATACCCATAGACCATAGTAGTAATGCCTACGACGAACAGTGATGGCCCATGTATTATGGGCCCAATTACAAAAAGATATTCAAATATAAAATCCAACATGAGCAGAAACCCAAAGTCCATTATATAAATATATAAACAAATCCTAGAGGCTTATAACAACAACATTACTAAATTAGATGGAACATGGTAAAACGACAGGTCATGGGAAAGATTAAAGAGATAAAAAACGAATCTAGCCATTTGGGAACGTCAAAAGGTTTTGATGTCTTAAATCCCTTTATACTCTCAGTAGCAAAAGTCAAATCTTTTTGGAAGACTCAAGGATACAAGTCCCATAACGTTTGTGCAATAAATAAATGCAAAAGTTTAGTATTAACGAATTGAATGTAATTAACTTCTTCCAAGTAATATCAAGCGATGCATAGAGTCATGGGGGAGTTCAAAGGGCTATATAACTTTTGGTTCCGTGTTTAACTAATTCAGACTTGAAACCCCTAAAAAAATAGTATCAAAATTCTGTTTTTTTACTTGGTGATCTTTCATGGCTGGAGCTGAAAATACAGAGAAACCAGTGTTTAGTCTGAGACTTCTTGTCGACAAGAAGAAGAACAAGGTTGTCTTGGCTGAGGCTGGTAAGGAATTTGTTGATGTACTCTTCAGTTTTCTGACATTACCTATGGGGACAGTTGTGAGATTGTTTGAGAACTATCAGAAGAAGAATCAAAAAGCTGAAGCTACTGTGATAGGCTGTTTCAACAATCTCTACAAAAGTGTTCTTGATATAGGCACCGCTATTTTTATGAAGGAAGCTTGCAAGGATATGCTTTTGTATCCGAGAAGCGTGAAGGAGAATCAACGCAAACAGCTTAAGCTTAACATAGATGATATTGAGGTTCTCAAGTACTATACGTGCCCGACAGAACATTCTTGGGGATTATATAGTAACTTTTGCTCCTCAAGATGCCCTTGTGGAAAACTGATGACAAAGGAGTATAAAACAAGTCACGGTGTAGCATATGGAGAAATATTTGTCAGCCACAAGCCCTTATTCACCATCACTGACAATTTGAAAGTGGGATTTACTTCTATAAGTCTTACCCTGAAGACACTTAAAGTGTCAGGCTATTCTGATGTTGATCAGCTGCATGAGATGCATGTAGATGTTGATCACGAAAAGGTACCATTTTTTTTTTTATTGAATTTTCTCTTTACATGCCATTACCTTAAACCTTAATTTCTCTCCTATTTATGCAAATTCCAGGTACTAGATCTACTGAAGTGCATATTCTCTTCAGATACTCCCTTGACTGATGTGTTCTTAACGAAAGAGAGACCATGTGTCATTTCGAAGGTGCTTAACATGCCAAATCTAGAAGAATCTGGAGGTGTAGTTCAATCAAACATAGTAATGTCTGTCAGTGTGTTCACCAGAAAACAGGACAAGAAGGTTCTCTATATTGAAAGTGAAAAAGACTTCGTTGATCTTCTTTTCACTTTCCTGGTTCTCCCTCTGAATTCTGCATGGAAATTAGCTGGAAGCAATCTCGTGCTAGGATGCATCAATAACTTGTGTGAAAGCTTCAATAGCTTGAGCTCTATTGAAGGGAGCAATGCATTCAATAGCAGATGTGTGCTTCCTTGGTATTATAGTTGCCAACAACCTCTGCTTGATGTTTGTTATGCCGAACGTGATAAGGATTTATCATTGGCTACATACCCATATACACATAAACCGATGGATCCACGATGCGATAAAACTGCTGAAGTTGGAGTGTGTAGTGGGTTTGTGAAGAGAGGCACAACGTTTATGGTCTCAGATGATCTTACTATCAAACCTATGGATTTATCATCAACCATTTGCTCACTGAAGAAGTGGAACATGGACTTGGATGATATAGAGGAGCAAGTAATTAACATTAGCAAAGCAGAGGTATGTATCACTCAGTATCTTCTTTCATTATATTTGTGAGCTTTAGTTAACTCTGTTGAATATATATGACGTTATTACGACAGGCTATCAGACTATTGAGAGCCTCATTCGTGACTTCCACTGCCTTGAACACAGTTTTCGAGAGCTTACTCCAAAAGAAACCGAAAGAAGAGAAAGTCTAAGGCATCATTCCATGCTTCTGTTGAGCAGATTGATTTCAATTTAAGATTTTGTTAATTTCTTTGTTATTCAACAGTAATGTTTCTCAACTTTCAGTCTTAATATGTTTTTGCTTGATTTCAAGTGTTATCATTTCTGAATAATAACATAATAGATTATCTAGACAGACTGACAATATTGGTAAATAATGCTAAGCCAGTCATGGGTTGGGATGATCCAAATGTTTACATGATGACCCATAAAAATTTTAATTTAGAGGACTTTTTTTTACACAAAAAAAAAAAAAAAAATCCCCACCTTTTAAATCTGTAGATCCCTCCCTCATTAGTTATCGAATCAATTTTCCATAAGTATGAGGGATCGATAATTAGGGATCTACATATTTAGATATTGTATTGATATTCCATAAGTATGGTGATCGTATGTAGAAATATCACCATTCTTTTGTTAACATGTAAATATGATATTAACAATAAAATTGTATCAATGCCATAATTAGGATTCGTGAAGGACACTGATAAATCTCTATATCGGTTTATGCCGCCAATGAAGCATAACTCTCGACTCTTCGTGTCTCTCTGAAGATTCTATCACATCTTGTTGGTACGTATCGATGAGAAAAACTCAGCTTTGCTTCTTCTTTTTTTTTCTTTTTTTTTTCTATGCTAAGAAAACAGAGTAAATTGTGTTTCTGGCTTGTTCCCTTGTATCCTTGTATGCTCGTTAATTTTCTTTAGGTTTCTGAAGAAGTTTTGCTAAACTAATCATCTTTAGGATTTAGTATAGGCATTCACATAACTCTGTCTGTATAGGTGTAATGTAACTGTTTTAACGTTTTATCCAATTTGTGTTTTATGTGTTCTTACTTGTAATTTTCATTCTATGTATCAATATACAGATCGGTCGATTTTCTTAATTACTTGTAAGTTTTTGGGTGTGATTTTCAAATGGAGAGTTCAGACAAACCAATTTCAAAGCTGAAATTTCTTGTCGACCCGGAGACGAACAAGGTCGTCGTGGCTGATGCTCGTAAGGATTTTGTTGATGTGCTCTTTGGTTTGATGGCCCTGCCAATGGGTACCATCGTCCGATTGCTGGAGAAGAATAAGCAGAATTCTGCTCCAATAGGTTGTTTCAACAATCTCTACAAAAGTGTCTTTGATATGGACAAAGATGACTTCTTGAGTGAAGCTTGTAAGGATATGCTTTTATATCCCATGTATGTGAAAGAGAAGCAATGCAGACGACTTAAGCTTAACATAGATGATACTACCGAGGTCCTCAAGGCGTTTAAAGTACCTGAAGGTGCTGGTTGTGATGAACTTTTTGTCACCGGGAGGTCCTCTTTCATCATTACCGATGATATGAAAGTGGAATTCGCTTCTCTTGTTCTCACCACAAAGATACTTATCGGACTCGGTTATAATAGTGTTGCTAAGATGGAGGAGATGTTTGTAGACCTTAATCATGAAAGGGTAACTACTCCCCCTCTCTTTCCTAATAGATCTATGTCATGTTTTGAGTTTTTAAAATATTGATTTTCTCGTATTTCTTAAAATGTGTGAAATATCTAAAACATCAATCTATTAGAAACAGAGCGATTATATTTTTTCTTTCTTGGCCTTGTTTTCTCTTCGAGTAACTATTAGTTTTTTTTTGAATCCAGGTTCTATCTCTGCTCCATTGCTTGTTCTCTTCGGAAACTCCTTTCACTGATGTCTTCTTGAAGAAGCATAGCTCTTGTGGTATGACAATTGACAAGGTCGCATGACATGCCAAATCTACCCGCGCAAGATGGTGGTGAAGCAGGACCAGATGAAGTTGTGTCACTCACTCTATTTGTTAGGAAGCAGGACATGAAGGTTCTTTATGCTGAAAGTGGGAAAGACTTTGTGGATCTACTTTTCATTTTCCTGGCTATCCCTTTGGAATCTGTATGGGAAATAACTGGAAGCAATATCGAGCTAGGATGCATCGGCAACTTTTGTAGAAGCTTGAAGAACTTGAGCTCTAGCGGAAGCACGGATGCATCTAGTAACACATGTATGCTTCCTTGGCAATATAGGCTGCAGAAATCGTTGCTTGGGGTCAGTTATCTAAACAGTGACGGTAGTTCTCAATTGACACCTCATTGTAGCAGTGGGTTTGTGAAGAGCGGGGTAACATACATGGTCTCAGATGATCTTACTATTTGCATAAAGAAGAAGTTTGAAGTGAACTTGGATGATATTGAGGAGCATGAAATCAACATTAGCAAAACACATGTATGTCTATATTACTATTCTTTCATGATATAGTTTTTTCTGAGCTCAAATTAATCGTTTTGAATCTGACACTAATGCAGGCCATCGGTTTACTAAGAGCCTCTTTTATGACTTCCACTGCTTTGACCACAGCTTTCGAGAGCTTTCTTCCCAAGAAACCGAAAGAAGAGAAACTCTAAAGCATCAATCACATGCCTCTCTTGAGCAGATTGATTTCAAGTTTAGGTTTTGTTGTTTGGAGTGGTAGTTGAACAAATTACCTTCTCTTTAATCACTACTGTTAAGTACAACCTTTTGTTCTTGAACCTTTAATGTGTCTTGAGTTTCAGTCTTTATATGATTTTGCTTGATTTTAGAAGTGTTATCAATTTAAGAACAAATAACATGACAAATCATCTTGAATACACGATCAGGGTGGTCAATAATGCTGAGCCAGTGATGGGATGGGCTTACATGATGATGACCCCATAGCTCATTGAGTCATTTCCATCAAGCCAACATACACAAGTGTTATTATAATACAAATGAAATAAGAGTTCCATTCATCAAAGGACAAGAACAAGAACCTGACAATAAACTATAGCTTCTGCATCTTAGTTCAAGGTTGTATATCTTAGATCATATGTTGAAGATCTTGAACTATTTCTGATATCGGCGGTCTAAATCCTGGTTCCATCTATAGAAAAAGATTAGCAGGCAGAGAAGTCAAAAGGGTTAGTTGCTTTTCTGATGTCATTGCTTGACATTGCTTTCTCATCTAGTTTGGTGATGAATGAAGTGAACTTTTTACCTGCAGTGAACGTGATATGATATCTGCAAAACGTGACAATGATTTCATTGGATACGCTCCGTGTAATGACGGATCAACCATTCTTGTCAACGCATCAATGTCATGAAGCCGAGGAATCGCCCACTGAGCTAGTGTCTGATGTCCCCTCGGCCTTGTCCTGCAAAAAAACCAGAGTTTTGTCTTGAGATAGTATAGTACAGTGATTCTTCATAAGAAACATAAGTGAAACATGTTCTCTTTTGAGTTCAGAATCTTTTATGGGTTCTATTAGTTGTCTCTTTAGAGTATGCTAACCTGTCAAATGGTCTCCGTCCAGTGAGCAGTTCTAACATTACAACCCCAAGGCTAAATACGTCGCTCTGACAAGTGTAGCTTCCATACTCGACCTCAGGAGCGGCATAACCCGCCATCTACAATTTTTTAAGCAAACATCATTTCCTTTACAGCACTCAGTCTTATGTTTGGGATCTTAAGAATAAGACAACATACAGAATTTTACCTGACTCGTTGGACGCGGTGGTAACATATAAGCCAAACCGCTGTCTGCAACACGTACTGAGAGCTTTCCATCAAGAAGAACCTTGGAAGACTTGAAATTCTGGTGAACAACCGGCGGTTGACATACCTCGTGAAGAAACCTGAAACCAAACTCTAAGATTCTAGATGTTCCAAATATAGATTGGCATAACATTTTCAGGTTCTTTACTTACTGCAATGCCTTGGAAGCTCCTAACGCAACATTCATACGCACATTCCAAGTGAGCTTCTTGTGCAACTTGCGGTCTAAATGTAGTGCATCTTGAAGTGATCCGTTAGGACAATACTCATACACAAGTAACCTTTGACCAAACTCGTTACAGTAACCAAGAAGCTCCAATATATGACCGCGTTTAAGCTTCAACACATTGGAGACTAGATTGAGGAATTCACCGTCACTCTGTGTTCTGTTGATGGTATTGCTCAGCTTCTTCACCGCAAGAAACTATAGATCACAACATGTCAAGAAGTTAATAAGAATGCACAGCCTAAAACATTGTAAGACCAAATGACAGACAAGAGGAAAGTGTCACACCTTTCCATGACGAAGCTCAGCTCTGTAAACATTACCAATCGACCCTTCCCCAATTATATTCTCTTCTGAGAAATTATTTGTGTATTGCTGAAGTGAAGCAATGGTGAAAACGGTAGCAGAAGATGAAGAATTCAAGCCCGGGGGAAAATGAGCCGCTCTCTTTGAAGCAGAATCATTGGACTGAAACTGCCTCGGTGGTTGTTGCAACGGCTTTTGAGGTGTATTAACATCCTTATTATAATATGAAGTAGGAGGCATTGCTCTCCGGCTTTCTTCAGCCCGTGGTGGCATAGGATACCCATATTTCCTGTCTCCAGCTCCATATCCATCGAAAGGCTTAACCATGGGCTCCCGAGAAACTGTAAAGCAAAAGAAAACACCCGCAGCATTTTGCGGATAGCTAATGAGCCAAAGCACAAGTTTCTTTTCTTCTTGGAAGGAAAAGAATCAGTGTACCTTTTCCCATAGTGGGGGTTGGTTGAGATGGAGGTTTATTGAAGTATGGTCGTTGTAAATCTTTACGAGCTCCAGTGTAATATCGGTTAGATATTTTACTTCTGCAACATCTCCAAAGTGTAACACACAAACCAGATACGAGAACAATTATGGCCACTGAAGAAACGACTAGAATGATTCTTTGAGTGGACCAGAATTTTCCTGATCCTGAACCTGAAGGAGGTGATATTTGCAAGGTAGGTTGCCCTGACCCAGTGTTCCAGGGATCCCCTCCTCCATTATCAGAAGAAGGTGGCGACCAAACCAGAGGTGGTGATGGTGGTGGATGTTGTGGTTGCAGTGGAGCAAAAGGAGCAAAAGGTGCTGGGGGAACACCGGAAACAGGAGGGATACGGGGAACAGGAGGAGCATGGTGAGTAGCGGGAGGAGGATCAACCACAGGCGGAGGAGGTGGTGTTATAATCGATGTATTGAACGGAGTTCCATCTTTTCTGCAGTTATAATGACAATGAAACTTGAATGGCTAAAAAAAAGGAAAAAAACATTCAGCTTTTCTCTTAATATACTTACTTGAAATTCGGAACTTTCAATAGATTTGGCGGTATAGGTCCTGAGAATAAGTTGTTTTCTACATTCCTGAATCAAAGATATGAAAATACCATAGTGAGTTACTGAAGTTGGCTTTATGGTTGGAGAGTCAAGAACAAAGAGTATGCAAGGTAAAAAATGATTACAATTCAGTTAAGAAAAGATCCTCTATAACCTCAAGTGTTCCTGTGAGCTTGTTGTCCTGCAAATACCTGCAGTCCAACCACATTAGATATAAAAGCAATGATAACAATGTTTTTGTAAAATTTCATATTCTGAAATATGTGCACTTACAATATCTTAAGAGACGCTAAGTCTCCCATGGAGGAAGGTAAATGCCCGTCCAGTATGTTAGATGATAAGTCCCTGCATTAGAAACTAAATGCGTAAGTGAAAGACGCTGAGGGGAGGAAGCAAAATGAGACTTAGTGAGGAGAGAACATACAGTTTTGTCAGTTTTGATAGCTGCTGAAAGTAATCTGGTATCTCTCCTGATAGAAGATTGTTTCCCAGTGACCTGAAGGGAAAAGAAAGAGTCTGCTTCAAACCGAGGAAAATCGCAGATGTAAGTAACGGTGTCTTCTTTAACAAAGACTCACAGTTCAGACAAATCGGATAGAAAGGACAATGTAAAGGGAATGTTCCCAGTGAAGCGATTGCTGGAGAGAGATCTGAAACAAGAAATGAAAAAAATGGAGTGTCTTTTAACTGTTTATACTGTTGGAAACATAAGTATTGCCATAAACATATATAGTCAATTCTCAAACGCACAAGTTTCGGATGGAAGACGGCAAAGCCTGCGGAATTGTCCCTGAAATATGATTGCTACTGAAGTCCCTGTCCATTCAAACAAGGAAGAGAGAAAGAGTATTATTCAGCAATTCAAAATTATAGTGAATGGTAACAACATCTTGTATGTTTTTTATATAGCAAGAAGCTTCAAAAGAAACATGAAGATGAAACAAAACAAGACAAGAAGCTTTGCTTACATGACTTGGATAGATGAAAAATCAGCCAAAGTATCACTTAAGCCTCCACCTACCTTCATGCCAGGTATCCTTCTGCAGCCAACAACAATAATCACCTGGTCAGAACCTGATTTGGTGACTCTAAAGCAAACCATAACAAAGAGTTACAAGAGCAGAAGAGGAAGTATACATTTCTGTGATGTTTGAGGAGTCACAAACCACACCTTCCCATTTTTCTCCACAAGGGTCTCCTCCAAAAGCAAGCCAATGATGTAGAGATGGTGCTCCCAAAGTGATGTACAAGTTATTAATCGCAGAAACTGTAGAAGTTATTAAACAACAAACAAACCCATCACTATATAATCAAATCTAACATAATTATTCTAGAGATTAAAGAATCTTTCTGAAGATAACCAATTAATGAAGAACAATAAGAACAAATTTCTTGGTCTTGAACTAAAACCCTAACAAGAGCTTATGTGTCAAAAACCAAAACTTTTTAGGGTTTTTGAGATTAGCCTCAGAATCATAGAATCTGCCAATCTAGAGCTTCCCAGACAGCTCTAGTGTTCACCTAGTTTACCCTAAAACTGATGTAAGTCATTTTCACTAGACAGAAGTCAAAATCTAGAGTGTTCACTAAACCAAAATAAGGAGAGTCAAAGCAAAACCCAAAATGAAAAACTTTGCAGAGAGAGATAATTACCATCTCGTAGATTAGTAACTCCAGCTGAGAACGGCATTGTCAAGGCTAAAACAGAGAGAACAAAGAACACTTGCCATCTTGTAAAGCTCATAACTTCAGTCTCCACTGAAGATTGGAAAACCCTTGAACTTGGATTTGATTGTTTCTTTCCAATAAAAACGAAGATTTAGAGGGAATGTGATGAAAACACCAGGAAGAAGAAGAAGAAGAAGGGATATTCCTGATTAAAAGGTAAAGTGAATCATAATTTCGTCGGATTTTGAGGAGAGAGAGAAAGAGGAAAAGAGATTGAAGAAGAAAGAGAGACTAGTGTAGTGTAGTGTAGTGTGTTTTGTCTCGAAGAACGAGCGGCTTACAAAAGCCAACGGCTTTGTTTTTCTCTGTTTAAGCCTTTAAGTTTCGTCTCCAAAGTGTGAAACAGAGAAAACTTGCCAAGACTTGTCTCTCTTTTATGTTTTTTAATTACTATAGTTTCTTTCTTTCATGTAATAATTGGATTTTTCTAATGCCATCAGGTAGAAAAATAGAAGTGAATATCATTTTGATGTAGATTACATATTCCGTTACTTCACCTATTAAAATCCAAATAATGTAACAGGCAGAGTTTATCACTTATTTCAGTGAGATGGGCCAAGAAAAACAGTTCAAGTAAGAAAAGCTCTGAGAATTCTTTAATGGAAGAAGAGAGTGAGAGGCCCTACTAGGTCAAAAATATCATCATTTTCATCCCACGTCCATTTTTCTTAATTTTAGTGCTTATTGGTGGTAAAAATGTGTTAATTGTGTGAGTGTTTTTTTGTCTACAAATTCTGAAATCACAACACATATTACGATTTACATGTCGTCGATGTTGTAGTTTAATTACCTAGGAAGTAGAAACGCTTAAAATGTTAAAGATGAAGATTATCATTGATATTTTCTAATAGTTTTATCAATGACTTAAACTGAAATTTATGAAAATTGTGTTAAAACCTTAAGAAGAAAAGAAGATATAGTAAATTCATGATTACACTTTGTGTTTTTCTATTAACAATTAAGAATTCTGGTTTTGTGTTTACAGTTACAACCCTTGTTCTAAAAATCCCCGCCTAGACCCGATTACTCCCCGCTTAATCGCTAGGCCCACCCTATCCGCCTCGATTAATGACTAATCCTCTAAAGAAATCAGTCACCCGATTACTCTCCGCCTAATCCGATTACTTCCCGCCTAATCCGATTATTCTCCACCTAATCTTACATACCCCAATTATTTTTAGATTGCTAGTATAAAAAAACTTTTAATTTTTGTTATTCAATCATTTGAATTGGGACTTTGTAATGTTTTACAATAACTTATGTTCAAATTTTAATAAAAATCATAAATTTGTAATAAAAATCATAAAAATTTGTCTCAAAATTACATTTTTATGTATTTACTGCAATTTTGAAAATAATATTGGATTGATATGTTTTAAGAATATTAAAATAACCCTAAAACTAATCCCCGATTAATTCTCGATTTTAATCCGATTTTCCGATTAATCGCTAGGCCCATACCGAGCGCCCGACTAGCGCCTAGCGATTTTTAAAACAAGGGTTACAACTAACAATCACAATTTATCAATTTCTTTGGAATATATAGTTAATTTGTATTTTTGTTTGTTGGTTCATTGGTTGATGTGATGGAGGACTTGTGAACAATTCCATAGTAATAGTTTAATAGAAAGCCATAATTTCATAGTTTGAGATGAGAGTAACTTTGATATTCATATGTGATTACTTCTGATATTCACATAAATTTATTTACGACCTGAATAATAACAGCAAACATAAATTTGTATGATCAATAAAGTATAAACATGGTTGGTTTTTGATTTTTTGATTTTTTGTCGAAATCAATTATCAATCGAATTTTTTTGGCTTGTCAAAATCAATCAAGTTCACCGGACACAATAATACTAAGTTGCGACTAGTAAAAAAATCCCATTCTTATGGGCTATAAAACAAAATATGACCCAAAATTGGTTGATAGTGGGTAATGGTAAAGCCCATTTGAAAGATGATTCCTCGTAGGCCTAATAACGCAAAGAGATTGCAACGGCTACTTTCAGTCTTCGAAGAAAAACTATCGTACATGAACCCCTTTATTTTACTCAAACGTTTCAAACCAGTAAACCACTATGCCAACCATAATAAACCGAGCCAAAATCAAATGAATATACCGAATCAAATGTTTGTTTCGACCGAAACTCAAACTAATTCTTCACAATTTCGATTTTCTCCATACATAACCGAACTTGAACCAAAACCATACCAAACAGTGTTATTGGTTTGTGATTTTAATAGAGTTTTAGTGACTTTAAATGTTATATAGAATATGTTGTTATTCAATCAAGATTTTTAAAAAGTTTGTTAAAGTTTGGTGTTATTAGTTTAAGATTTGTAAAAAGTAATCTAAAATCTTCATAAATCTAGAGTTATTGGATTCATACTTTTATAAAGTCATTAAAAGTTTTGTGTTATTCAAATACAACAAAAGAATCTAGGATTATTAATGAATTAAATTATTATGTTATTGGTTTATGAATTTCTACACTTTTCTTCACAAAACAAAGTCATGAAAAGTATCATAAAAATAGAGAGATTGTTTGGAAAACTTTACAAGATTATGAAATACTAATCAATAAAATTATGGAAAACTCTCAAAAGCTCTCTAACAATAGTTTAGAATTTTTCATTTGTTTACTTTCTATGATTTTATTAAAGTCATCTAAATTCCATGTAAATTAGAAACCAATAACACTCCTAAGGTAGGAGTCAGAGTCATTTTGGTTCTTGTAATTCAGAAATCAGAAACCCCAAATCAATAGTCGTATAATAAAACACTAACTAAACCATTAATTGAAACATTATGTTAGTGCGAATAATGATTAATGACTGTAGCACTTAAACATATACTTAGCAAAATTAGTTAGGAGATTGGAAGATGTATTAGAGTGAATGCAAACTATTGGTCTCTTTAATAAGTGTTTAGGCAAAATATAGATAGATATTGTAAAGTTAGGCTTTATTATGGTCCTTAATTTTTAACATGGTCTCTCATTACCCAAAAAAGGCGAAACAAGATTAAAGAATGCAACATTACTTTAGAGCATGATTAACAATGATATCTTAAAAATGGTTCTTAGAAGTATTAAAGTAATAATATGACATGTGGTTGGTTCTTAAGGTTAGTTTTGGGTCTTAGCTAAGCCACTTTTCTTAGTTTTGGGTCTTAGCTAAGCCACATTTCTTACTTAAAAACTCTTTAAGATACCCTTGTTAATGGTGGTCTTATGGTCACCCGTTAGACCAGAGGATCCAAGGCACATAACGAATGTTTTATTTATTTAATTAATCAAATCTACACGAATTTTGGTTCAAGTTTTGGTTTTACATCATCCTAGCATTTTCTGCCCTACCATTTTATATCCGTTATAAATCTTCTAGTAATCGTAACACGCAACATCAGAAAGTTTCAAAGAAAAAGTTCTATAAATTATGAAAAGTAAAAAAAAACTTCAAAAAATTTGTTAGACGATACTAGGATACAATTTGCTGTGATGCACTTGATAGTTTTGAAAATATTAAATTGATCAGAATTATTGGTTTGTCTTGTTTTATTTCCCAAATACACAAGTGTGACACATAAACTCTCTAGAGATGTAACGGTAAAGAAACTTTTTTTTTTCTCTCGCCGGGAATTATTCAACATTCGTCAAATAAATTAGTTAACGTGATGTTGTTGTGGGGTACAAAAGGACAAACAAGAAAGCGTTAAGAAAAGCATAATCTTTACAGTGCTCTCTCCAAAAGATGAGCCTAGAAAAGTTTTTTTTTTTTTTTAATTGCTATCAAAATTTTTTTAAAAAAACGTTTGAATGATAAACCACAAAATCGAATTTCTGTACTTTTTAAACCACACCTAAAAACGTTTACTTTTCATACCTATCGTAACCAAAAAGGAAGGATCCCAGTTTTGTTTTACACGATAGAAGAAAAACTAAGATATTTAAGCAAGGCTGGTAAAACTAAAATAAACTATTTTATACACAAAATAGAACCTACTAAAACGGTTCATGTAAAACTAATTACTACTATTTTATACACTATATAGTTTTTACAGTCTATACACTATATTGAATCAACTCTTAAAACAATTATAAATGAACTACATTTTGATTGGAATAAAGAAGAGTATTGGAATAACTAAACCAATACTCTCCTGTTAAATATTTTATCTAATTCTTTAACTCACACACTTATAAAACTCAAATAATCATAATACATTGTTTGAAATTTAGCCTTTAGATGATAACACAACAAATAAACTACTAATAAGTTTAGCCTTTAGATGATGAAAACTCAAATATCATAATACATTGTTTGAAATTTGTTGGTTCGGACGATCATAGTAAATTGAATTTAGTGTATGATGGTAACTTTCTTTTTGGGGTCAATGTTACGTGACTTTCTGATTTTGACTGTCAGAAAAAATATAATACTAATTGATGTCACGGAAGCAAATCTTTTGCCGCCCTACTCACACATCATATAATTTAATTTAATTTTTCATTTTTTTATAATGAAAAACAGAAAAACATTTTAGTATTTTACAAAATCCACAACCAAACAGATTCTGCAGTGGCGAAGCATGTGAAATCTGAATAGATAAAATAACTTCGAAATTGTAAATTCCGGCGACAATTCGATAATAAGATATATTATCTCATAGAAAGATGAAACACTCTAATGAAACAAGAGGGTTCTCAAAAGAGTCGTTAGGGGTAGAATTGTAATTCCCGACAGAACCCGGCCACTTGTGATGATTACAATCTTGTTCCGACCCGTTCTTATTCGGATCAAGTCTGACCCGACCCGGAGACTGATTTTGTCTCCTCATTGCTCCACAACTGTCCGTACTTTGTTGACTCCGAGTTGGACCCATCATGACGGACCTGTTCATCGCCGGCGACCTTGACCTTCTCTCGGATCTTTCAGTCGGGTCTCTTTTACCCGTACCCGGCGGAACCAGCCTTACCGAGCCAGCTTCTTCTTCGGAGTGTCTCTTACGAGGAGACATATCGGTTCTCCGGTTTGGATAACTAACCATGACCCGGTTCCGAGATTTCGCCGGAGATCTCTGTCTCACTACCTGAGATTTCATCTGTTTCACTTCTTCCTCGTCGTATCCATTCACGATCGAAAGCAAACTCTCGCTTAAACTACAAATCTCGGAAACCTCCGATCCTTTTTCGGGTTCAATCGTACCGGGCTTGGTCAAAACCGGTTCTTGAACTACGTCGACAACAATTCCGGGTTTCTTCTCCTCATCTTCTTGAATCTTTGTCGTCGTCATCTTATCCACCGTCGAATTGTCGTTAGAGGAAGTGAGCAATGTAGTTTCGGACAAGACTTCTTTGACTACTGTCTCTTCATCGACAACTGATGGAGGTGGTGCGGTGTTCTTGCCGGAGACAGGATCATCTTTCTTGTCGGCGGTGGCGGAGCTGAGGCAACAACCCATAACAGAGAACGGCGTTGTTTAGGTGGAGATAACGAGCCTCTTGACTCTTTTTGGTGCTGTGTGAATGTGAAGTGAGAGAGTTTTGGGTATTTATTGGCAATCTTTTACTTTCACCAAATGTTTTTTATATTTATTTATCTATAAATAACAGTGAAACCACTAATGTTTTATGACAAATAAATAGTTATAATCTGAAAAAGCAGGCCAAAATCTAGCTTCGATATTTGTTTTTATTATTTAAAATGTCTAGTTGAGAAAAAGCTAACAGTGAAGATTTAAGTTTTTGACATAATTTGTTTGTTGTAGTAATGCGTTAAGTCGTTAACTACACAACTAGTTGAAGTAAATTACGAACATGACCAGTAAGTATAATTGTTATGCACGAAAAATACTGCTCCAATTCCGTGTACATTATCATACAGCCATGCAAAGGTCTAAAGATTTTCTTAAGACTTGTTTTCATTTTGAACTTGTAAAACAGTACAAGAAGTAATTAATTAATAATGCTATCTATTTTCACATAGTTGTACATATGACATTTGACAAAAAAAAGTACAGTTTCATCAGCGAATGACTGAATGTGATTTCGAGTCAATCCAAACGTGAAATCTCGACTCTGATACTGGTAAATTCGTTCATCAAATTATGACGCAAATGTATGTACATTCTCAAATTCACACATGCCAAATACTCGTATAAGTCAACTTTTCCGAAAAATAAGTGTACAACATATGACACAAGTACCATTTACATGACTAGACGAAAAGAAAACTGTATATACCATTTACCTTAGTAACATAACAGTGACTATCCACATTGACTGGTGACTATCACAACAAAAGAGTTAATGTCTGTATTCCAAAATTCCAACACATTTCAGACTTTTCACTTACTAATATGAAGATCTCTACTCCATTGAAAATTTTAACAATCTAATTCAAAAATCTCTCAATCCAAAAATATCACTGTAAGAAAAAATAGCATCCCCTAGAAAACTCACAGTTTTTAATACAAAATTCGTCTGCTCCTTCTTACAGTTAGTTTTACAATTTCCCGATATTAGAATTTATAACCAAGTTCTTGTTTAAAGGGAAAACAAACGTACTATAAAGCAGCTCCACATGACCTCCGAGTTCTCTATCTTAGAGAAAGTTTGATATCTTGGAGAAAAAAAAGAAGAAAAAGAACACACTCTCTAGTCTCTTCTCTTTTCTTCTTTGCCAACTAAGTCATATAAAAAGCAAAATAACAGAGAAACTAAATAAACCCAAGTCAAATCTTGAATATATGCTTAAGGCTATAAGCTAAAGGGCATAAACCAGTTTTTGATCCTAATGCTATTTACACAAAATGCGGATAAATAATCTCCCCGAACCCAATCAATGTAGCGAAATCATCGGGAGAGAAAAAAAAAAGAACAATACAAGAAAACAAAAACATCCGATGCCAAACTCAACTCAACTGAATGTGGTTGGTCGCTCGAATGTCAAATAAGCCAATGGTGAATGGTGATGGAGATAAGATAAATAAACAGTCTTTAACATTCTTGAATGGAGTTTGAGTTGGAGGAGTCTCTTGATGAGCTATGTTGATCCTGAGACTGTGAGATGTTTTGAGGAGGACAAGGCACGGGCGCTGGATGAGCGATGAACGTAGGGATATCATCTCCTGGCATCAATACCGATACCCCGTTTGAGTAAACAGTCATCTGCAAATCAAAGAAACAAAAACCACATAAATAACAACACAACATATATCCAACAGATAGAAGAAGCAGAGATTCTCAAAAAGAAAGCCGACAAATCATAAGCAAATGAGAATTTTGAGTGGAAGAAGACAATGACAGATCAAAACATGTGTCATTGTTCCCCAACAGCAACTCAGGTTAGAATGAAGAAAAGGGCAAACACACTTGGTCTTAAGTTTACCATTTATGGGTCCTCCCATGTTTTTGAATGGTTCTATCTACTCTTTGAACACATGGTTTGTTCCATATCCATCTAATATCAATCTATAAATGCCAATTAGTCTTTTTAATCAAAATAACTTTATCTAACAAAAAAAATAAGATGTAACAAGAGCTTCTCATCAATAATCAAGATCCAGAAAGAAGAACTAAATCCAAGTTTAAAACCCATTTCTCAAAACATATTCAAGTTTATCTCTTGAGTGGGATTCAATAGCCATTTGTACCAAAGTCAAGCTAAAATTCAGTACTTAAGATATGAGGGACAAAGAGCTCTCCAAGAAACTATTACCCTCAAGAATATGACAAACGAAAAAAGTTCCCAAAGAAAACACAATCTCTAATTACATTCAAGTTCACATATAGATTGAAAGATCATCAAACTTGACAAATGGGGCTACTGAATCTGTCCTACTCCTAGTCTTCTATGAGATTAGAGTCAAGTAACCTATGTAATCACTCAAGAAGATGGAAAAACAAGAATAGACACTCTAGAATATGAGTAATGTTAGGTTTCAAGAAAACTTGTGGGACCATTAGTGTTCCTAGGAAATGTCAGTCACACATGGTTTCAGACATTGACGTTTAGACCTCATCTTCCATCTACAACACGCATAGTTAGTATTATACGCGTCGACATCAAATACTTACAAACGAATCAATCTTCAACAAACAAAACTTTATACACCTCTTTCTTGTCTCCTTCGTCATTCATTATTAAGAAGGAAAAAAAAAACAGAGAGATTCTAAAATGACGAAAGAGATCAATGAATGCATCACCATTTATACATACATACATACATATAGATACACACTCAACAGTGTATGCATGTGTGAATAAGGAAGCTTATGAGACATCTTTAATGTTGATGATGTAAAAGCATGTGCAATGTTGGGTCTCTTTCAATACTCAAATAGTACACAGAATCAACACTTTTTGATGTTTTCTCCTTCTGCTTTTGGTATGAACGTGTTCACATCAAATGATAAAATTACCCCAAAATTAAAATTGTAACCTTTGGCATAATTAATCAAAAAGACTGAAGCTTTTTTTTAATACTACCAAATTTCGATGATTTAAGGAAGAAAACACATAAATAATTCTAACATCTAAAACCAAAATTAAGTGTCAAAATCAGTTCTTTTTATTTCTACCAAAAAGAAATCAGTTCTTTTTATAGAATTGAAGAACAATGAAATCTCTAGATTAGTCAAAATGTGTCAACATTTAATTAACAGTAAGTAAGTAGACAATAATGCGAAAATTAAGGAATTTGTGTTGGGAGAAGGATAAAGTAAAAAAGGACTTGCCTTGGGAGATTGATAACCGAGTTTAGTTGCAGCACCATTAAATCCGACCCGAGAATCCATACCCGGAAGGACCCGACTTGAAGAGGAATCTGAGTTAGTAGTTGAAGTAGTGGTTGTCCGAATCAGTCTCTCGAAGATAGCCATGACGAGGAACATAGAGATGAGAATAGCTGTAGCAACGAAGCCAAAGGAGACAGCGTTAACTGAGTCGTCGAATTGAGATTTCCATGGCTCTTCTCGCCGGAGATTCATCGGAGCTCCGATAGGTGGCCATGGATGATTCAGGTTAGTCTTTAAGTGCTCAAGGTCTCTCATTTATGTGTGAAAAGGTAAAGAAGCTTCAATGTTCTTCGTTTTTGGGGTGATACAGAGAAGAGAGAGAGATGAGGAGGAGGAAGAAGAAGGAGAAAAGAGAGGAGGAAGCAAGTGGGGCTAATATGTGAGAAAGTGAAAGTTTTGGGATTTAAAGAGAAATTAAAAAATAAAGGAAAAATTATTACTTTTCGGGGACACACATGTTGTCCTTTATTGCTCAGCTTTTCTCGAAAACTTACAAAGAGAGTGAATAGTGAATTTTTGTTTACTAAAGTAATTAAGAAAATATATGCAGAATCTTTGAGCTTTTATTTTGAGCCACGATGAAACACTTTGTTACCTATTACAGACAGGCGTGGTTCGATGATTATTTTTAATTAGTACAGTAATTGGTTAACCCAAAAGTATACACTAACACTGCATGTCTAAGCAAAAATGTGGTTAAAACCAGATCAAAGCCAAAATAAAAACCAGAAGAACACATTCCAGAAGTTGTTGTCATTAAAAAAGAAAAACATTTCAGCTTAGTTCTCCCCACGAAACAATTTTCCTCTCTATTTAGTTATTTCTCCCCGTTTACTGTTTTCTAATATGATTACGATATTTGATGATAGCTATACGAGCTTACGTGGTCTCTAACGTTGGTTTTAATTTGTTTAATAAGTATATGTTTTATTTTTATTTGTTAATTAATCTTAATCTAAGTGTTGGTGTTGGATCTTGCAAACAAAATTTTAGTATAGGCCCATTCACTGAAAAATTCTTGAAAGAAGTCTCGTCGAGCTGAATAAACAATTGAGAAAGTAACCAAACTCCATTTCAATCCTCAACATTTCACAAAACATGCAAATATCGACAATAAATGTTGAGGTAAAAGAGCAAATATCGAGTACAAAGCACGTATTTAAGATGGAACGACGCTATAAAACTGAACAGAAGAAAGGTTGACATGGAATGACTAATCACTTTTTCCATACAAAATCACCTTTCATTTCATCTCTATATACCGTACGTATGGCTTTTTCTTCCCTTTGAAATTCACTTCACACATTGCCTAAAACTTTATTTTATTTTTTTTGTTATTCAACGAAAGCTTTAATTCCCAATTTTTTCATCTACGGTGGCGGATCTAGAACATATTTCTACATATGACACAAAATAAAAACCATAATTAGTTAGTAAATTTTTTATCAAAAAGAAAACATAGTAGAGGATTCGAACCTAAGATCTCAGATTTAGCATGGGGCAACTTGTACCAATTAAGTTAGAAACACATTAGCTACTAAAACCATTTATTAAATTTATTAACTCTGTGTAAGGCACGTGCCCTACTACCTCCCTACGTAGATCCGCCACTGAGTACAGCCTCTTAAGTCTTAGGGCTTGACTGGTTTAAACGCAGCGGTTGCGGTTGCGGTTGTGGGAGTTTGCAGAAGCGGGCGGTTGCGGTTTCAAGCGTTTTTTAGCGTTTTGACCGACTGGTTTAGCGGTTGAAAACGGGTGCGTTTGCGGGAGATTTACGACTGGTTGATCAGCGGGTACGATAGCGGTTAAACCAAAATTTACCAAAATAAATTTAATATATGATTATAAAAAATTATAAAACACCAGAAACTATAGTTATGAAAAGTATAAATTTTTTAAAAATGATTAATGATTAAAAACCATAAATAATTATTCATATAAATTTTTATATTGAAAACAAAAATAATTATTTATATTAGAAAATTAAAGTTAAATAATAATTATTACTTTAGAATTAACGTGAATATAAATCAGACATGATGATATATATTTTAATTTATTTATTTTCCTTTTTTAGTTTATTTCCTTTTTTACACCAACCGCAACCGCCCGCAACCGCAAACGCTTGCGGGAAGGAGCTTTTGAAATCCAGCGATTTCGAGCGGTTCGAAGCGGTGTGGAGCGGTTTCTATGATTGGTACCAACCGCTAGCAACCGCAACCGACCGCTAACAACCGCTAGGCGGGTGCTAGCGGGAGAACCAATCAAGCCCTTAATCCTACTTTAAATATTTGTATTGACCAAAACCTACAACACAATCAATCACTCTTTTTATATTTTGTATTTTAAAAAAAGATCTCAAAATAAACAAAGTAAATTTTAGCATTGTTATTCTTAGAAACAGTAAAAAAAACAAAACAAAAAAAATCTCAACAACCAACGAAATCTTAGTTTTATTTGTCAAAATTTTGATTTTCTTAGATGCATTCAATTCAAAATCTCTCAAGGTTTTTGAATTTTATTTATATTTTTTTTACGTGTATAAAAAAAGGAATGTTAATTTTAAGAAGAAAAAAAAAGGGAATATTGATTCGTTAAGATAGTAGGAGACAAAGACCAAACAGTTGAACAATAAAATAAAAAGAAACAGAGTATCCGAAAATGATGTTTTAGGCACTCTGCCCAAAGTTTCTTCTTCTTCCTCTTCCTCTGTTATATCTCTTTCTCGTGACCCCCAATGTAAATTCCTCACACGAATTCAACTCCCATTTTATAAAGCTGCTAACTTTTTCTTCATTCCTCCTCCTCTCTTCTTCTGCTCCAAAAAGATCAAAACTTTCTTCCATTTTCAAAAGACCCTTTGACGCTTAAATCAAGAAATTGAGTTTTCTGAGTAAAATGGGATTAGAGGATAGATTCGAGGCGGTGAATCAGTACCGGAAAAAGATGTTCAGGAAGGTGAAGGCTGCGGTGAAGAAGACGAAGAAGAAGAAGCAAACTATGTTTCAGTATGATCCTTGGAGTTACGCTCTAAATTTCGACGACGGAGGATTAGAGAATCCTCAGAGATTCTCCGGCGACTGTAACTGTAAACTCCACAAAATCACTTTGATTTATGTTGTTTCTGTCAAATTTTGACCATGTCAAATCTCTTTCTTTCTCTTATTTGTTTACAGTTTTGAAGCACTCACACTTGTTTCAGTTTCTCTCCCTCTCTCTCCCTCTTCTTTGTGTCATTTTCCATCAAATTTGTTGTTTCTTTCTTTTGTCAGTTAGAGATTTTTTCGTCAAAACTTGAATCTTCTGTTTCAATGTACTTCAAATGGTTGAAAGAATGAAAGCAATTATCTTGACAAGTCAATGATCATTCTAATTATCGATTTTATTTCTGATAACAATTGAAATTGTGAACACACTTTTTGGTACTTACCTTTGTGTATATTCCAATGCAGAGACCGTAATTACTTATTGACCACTTTGAAAAATAAACGAGAATGATTATTTAAAACCATAAAACACATTTTTTGCGTACTAATCTCCGTGTAAGTTCCAACGCTAAAATTTTTGCTATGGTTATTGACCATTTTGTTATAAAACTTAAATATGGGATTCTTTTGAGTTTGAGAATTCTAAGACTAAATTTTAAGTCTAATAGATGACTGAATGAGATACTAAAAATTAGTTAAAGATTTATATTTGAATGAATTACCTCAAATTTGAATTTATGTTTATCCACTAATCAATTTCGAATCAGTAAATCCTTACTTGAAGTATAAACTAGAAACACCATTGACTCGCACCTAACATTCTTCTAAAACATGCTACATTCTTTTTGGACAAATTAATTTTGCAACTATCTTCTTAGGTGACTATAAGCAAAGCAGAGATTATAAAGTGCATTGAAGAAACAGTGCAATAAGGAGACAAAGAAGCAACTTTTTTAGTTAGTTGGTCAAACACTCAACAAACTTCAAAACCAATTCAATAGCCCCTTCACAAGTAGCTTTCTAGGAATCGTACCATGTTGGAGAATAAAAGCCTAACCAGTAACCAACATCTCTTGTTTACTGCTACCACCAAGTGGTCCAATATTTTTCCATCAGAAAGCAAATGACTTTATCATAAGTGCAAGGCCAAAAAACTTCATGTCGATCAAAATATACGATGTGAAGCAATGGAATCCTCATGTTCTTGTAACAGCAGGTTAAAATTTCACTATATATGTTCCCTTTGGCAGAGCCTTTAGTTTCTGAAAGAGGTGAAGAAATCATTCTGATGGCCATGGTGGGTTTATGACTGTGAGCTGGCCAGTGGGCAAAACACTCATGCGTGGATACTCTACTTTTTCATCCAGTTGATTCTGAGTCCAAATCAGCATCTTCAACAAGTGTAGAAGTTTGGGACCTGTTAAGTCACAAACATAAGATCACCATCGAGTTAGTACATTGACAAAGTTTCAAGAGGAAATCTTAATGACACGTGGGAAACTAAGGAATGTAAAAATAGCTGTCTCACTGTAACTATAACAGTTTTTGGCATCATAACCAATTGATCCTAGAGGAAAAAAAAAACCAATTGATCCTATTGTTTGCATATGAACAGTGCTGGAGGTTTAAGCTCATTGTTTTACTTGCTATCTTAAGCCATAACTAGTAAGAAAGTTGAGCAGTTACATTTTAAACCAGTCTGGCTAGTAAGAATGGCTGCATTTACTTCGGCAGCTGTCTTAAACCACCGTGAGTTGGCAAGAAGCTCTCCTACCACCTCCGGGATGTTAGGGAGATCTTTACAACGGAGTATATCCATAGTCTTTGCCATTTCTTCTAGAAACGCCAGCTGCATAAGATGTGGAAAGTTTTATGACCGGTTATGTGTCAGTATACTCTTATAGGATCAAAGATCAGTGGCATTTGTGGACTCACCAAGCAAGATATAGATTCTTTACACATAGATAACATCAACTTCAACGTTTTAAACCTAAGTAAACTACTAAGTGTATGATGACAGAACATATATGGATGAAAGTTCAATAAGATAAATCAAAGACATGAGATACTAACAGGACACACAATGTCATTTTAATGGTCAAAGACTTACGTTCTGTTCTACCAATGGTTTAAGCTCTTTCTGAGCAAACTCTAAGGCCTCCTCATCTGTCATCCCCATGCGGATTCTTTCTATAAACCTTTGCTGATTAAGAAAAAAATTCGTCTTCAGTATCTGCAAATAGCACAAGCTCTCATATGGTTAGAAACTATGACCTGTTAGGAATAGAAAAGCAACATCAGATATGTCCAAGCCAATGATCAGTTTCCATGAAAATGTGAGAGACTCCACTAATGCTTTTCTTAAGGATCACTGATGATGCATAAGATAAAAGGGCATTGTACCTCAGGGTTTGTAGCATTCAACTTCTCAACAGCATCGTCAAGATTTCCGCTTTCGATAGCCTCTATAACAGCTAATCGGTCACTGATGCTCGCAAAACCTACTTCTGCTGTTTCTTGATAAGGAAATAACAGAGACCAGATAACACACCAGCACTAGAAAGAATCTGAAGAAGTTCTTCCACAAGTAGAAAGAGGATACGCTTAGTTCCAGATTCCTTTTGGAATTTCTCCACAGCTTCTAGATATCCTTCAACCACAAGAAAATTCATCACGAGCCTGTTCATGTCTTCTTTCCGAATTTCCGCAGTTCTCAGATACTGCTCCCAAACATCACTCATGATCAATTTCTTCGTTGGTTCCAGAATCACAATTTCTTCGTTCTCTGAAATCTGAGTTTCTTCGTTCTCTGCTTCCACCTGATTTTCTTCGCCACCTTCGTCCACTATATACTGATTTAAGTCGTCTACTTCCTCCACTACATTCTGATTAGGAAAAAGGTCGTAAATACAAAGAAAACATGGATACAAGGAACACAATTGGTGAAGATCGATGAATACATTACCATATCATCTTCTTCAATCTCTATAATCTGAATAAGAAAAGAAGCCACAACAGTAACATTCGAAATCATCACTTAAACATCCGATTCAAAGAAAACAAATCGATGAAGATGAATATATTACCACATCTATTTCGTAATCTGCCATCTGATCACGAAAAAGAAAAAGCAAGAACAGTGACATTAGAACACTACTCTGTTTCGCATGTTGAATCTTTATCCAATCAATTCAATTTTTACCTGTTCTTTAGACGAACTATCGAATTTTCCCGCGTAATGTTCTCTCAAAGTTGACCGAGAAAACTACAATGGAGGCCCGAGAATCGAGGTCTTTAGTCAAAGATCGAGTCGGATACACAACAGAATAAAGTTCCTCATGTTTAACAGTTTAAGGAAGATTTGACGACGAGTTTTCCGGGAAAATCCTGTGAAATTTTCCGAGAAAATATACCTGGAGAGTGAAGGAGTGCTGCGAAACGGTTAGAGAAGTTTTGTGATTCCTTTCCTGCGAAAAGCCTGCGAAATTTCAATCCTAAACCCATATTTATAAACATTTTTAAACCGGGTTTTAGCCGAACCGTTAACAAACCGAGGCGGTTGAATTAGTAACAATATTGGTTTAGGTGTAATTTCCCCAAAAATGGTACTCCCTCCGTTTCAGTTTAGTTGTCGTTTTAGGATTTAAATTTTGTTTCATAATAGTTGTCGGTTTAGGTTTTCAATGCAAATGTTTGGTGAAAATTCCAGTTTTATCCCTACAGTTTTAATGTTTTGGCCAATAAAATTTTTTATAAAATATATTAATAAAAAGTAAAACAGAAAATTTAATGCTTTCTTAATTTGTGTGAAAAAATCTTAAACGACAAGTAAAACGAAACGGAGGGAGTATGATTTAATTTCTATGTTATCAGTAAGTGTCGTTTTTGGTAGGAAACATAAAGGTTAAAATTTCAGATATGTTTTAATGATCCATAAAGGAAACATTTACTTATACATTAATTAAGATAAGAAAATCTGGTAAATTTCTTGTTTTGGAGAAAGATTCACTTATCTAATGTTTTGGTCAAACCTGTAAACATTAATTATGTGTAAGGAGAAAAATGAGTATGGAAAACGTTGAAAATGATAATCCCTCCGTTTTCGAATAGTTGTCGTTTTAACTATATGCACACAAATTAAGAAACTATTAATATTGTTAGTTTTTCAATATAAAAATATTATTAATTATCTATCTAAACATAATTTAACCAATAGTAAATCAAGTTACATAATAAAAATAAATATAAAAAATAAAAAGATAATAAATTGTGCATCAAAAACTGAAAACGACAACCAATTAAAAACAAATTTTTTTTTCTAAAACGACAACTATTTGAAAACGGATGGAGTAATGCTTTTCTCATAAGCAATATATTTCCACTTTTGTGTTTTTGTCGTCAGCAAATTTACTATACTTTATCGCAGAAAACATTAATTAAAATTAAAAATAACGGCCCATGATTAATATAATAAACATTGACCAACAAAAAAAAAAGAAAGCCAACTTCTTCGACCGTTTCTTATTTAAATCTGCGTCTCTTTCTCTTACCTTTTCCCATTTGAGAGAGAAGAAAAAACCTCACCGGCATTATAAAAGTCGTGTGGATCATCCTCAACTACTCTAGAACCTTCTTCGGAAATTAAATTCATCGTTTCCAAAAACCTACTCGCAAGTTTTTTTTTCCTCAAATCGCAAAGTCTTTGTATCCGCTGCGTCGGCGATTTCGTGTTTGACTAGTTTTCCGGGAGAAAATTCTACTCGGAGTTTCGGGTTTTGTGCTGGATTTTGTCGAGTTAGGGTTTTTGTGTTCTTATTTACGGACTTAGGGTTTGGGTTCGTGATGAGTGAGAAGGATTCAGTATTTCAGCCTTGCGATTGGTCGCAAGCGGATGATTACTCTGGTGGCTTTGGATTTGGAGCCGAAGACGAGGATTTTATGATTGACATTGACGCGATTTATAGGATTCTTGATGAGAAGCCTGATTCTATGGAGGTATGGTTTCGCTAAGTGAAAAAGTGATGTTGTTCAAATGCCTAATTTCTGGATTATAGTGAATTTTGCTGATCTAGACTAAGCTTTTGAGTGATTACTTCCAGGTTAGTGAAGAAAATATGACTCAAGTTGGTTCATATGCTGTAGAGTCTGACGAGCTTACGAACACACTGACGCAAAGTGGTTAGTAGATGTAGAGGACTTCTTTGTTTACTGTCACATTTCTTTTGATTACTCTGTTTGGATATTGAAGTGTGGAATTAAGTTCAGTGATTTGATTTATTGGACCATGGACTCCATTAGGATCATCTTGGTAACTGTTTTATAAGTATATATGTTTCTTGCTTAGGATCTCAGGCCACTGGTTGGTTTCCTTACCCGGATTTGTATGGT